AGATTTTAAATATTAGAGATTTCAGAAACCCACAATTGTGGGATTATGAAATAGCTGATGGTGATCAGCTATTTTGAAATCCCACACAAATTCCACAAATTAAAAACCTGGGTTTTTAAGCCAGTGATTTGAACCAAAATCCCACAAATTAAAAACCTGGATCCAAATGACCCCTAGGTCATTGTGTTGTATACAATAGAGCGTCTCGTCGGTGCAAAGACCAATAACGCGAGACCCAATATTTCAAGTTATAATTCAAGTATTTAACTAGCCATCTGAAGTGTAAATCATAATTAACTAAGTTGACCAACATTATATATAATTAATTAAATTGCAAACGACTCCATTGAAATACAAACCAGTCTAATGGCCTCAATTAACCTATTCCGTTTATTATCATAAATAATATCCTAATTAAGAAATGGTTACTATGGTCTTTGGAGAGGGGACCGTGAAAGTCATTAATGTTGCGGGTGTGGAAAGTGAGCATATCAATTCAACACAAATAAACTATTATATAGGGAGTCTCGATCTAAGTATCAGCTAATATCGTTGAATCGTCTTTTTTATTTATTGTTGAATTAACACGATAAAAGATTTAAAATAATTATCATTCGCATTAATTTGGCTGAATTTGGCGTGATTATTGAAGGCTTCCTATTCGCCTATACGCTAGCCATACAAACACGATTCGAATGAACAGCAGATCCAATACTCCACGATCGAACCCCAACATACAAAAGTCCACATCCATGTAATCAGCCAACTGGTAGCTGAATGATTGATGGAGCTCTCGTACGTTACCTCGGAAGAACAAAATGGCATACTCACTCGCGAAAGCTGTAGCTTTTGCCAGACATCGATTTCTCGCAAACAAATTGATATTGCTTCATCATCTTCAATTTGAGGGATTCAGAAGAAGAAGAAAAAAAAAACAGAATACATTCTATTCTTATGCTGTGAACCAGTCTCGACAATTATCGTTAAGAAAAACTAGGTAAATCTCATCTCCCATGTGTTGAGCATATTTGGAATCTTGCTATTTTGACACATATGGTCCTCAGCTGAGTCCTGAACTGAGTGTGGAAGAAGTGTCTGAAGCGTGTGTGGGGAATATTAATAATACGGCAAAGGTGGATGGTGGTGGTGGCCGGCCGGCCGGTGGGGTTAGTTTTCTTGGGTTTGGGAGCCCAACTGAACACCCAAAATAATAATCTTTTGGTCGGTCTGGGAATTCCTTCTTTCCCTTCTTTCTCTCCCACTTTCTCCATTTCCATTTCCACTATTCTTCTTCGGTTCTTCCTCTTGTCATCACATGGCATGGAGGGGTTGCTAACTTGGGGACATATAAACTGGCTGGTGCCAATTCAATAAATACTCCTGATTTTACGATTCTTAATTTTGTCTAATTTGGTACCTAAGCATTTCCTTCGATATCCATAATTAGAGGTGGCAATTAGGATCCAAATCCATGAATCCAATCCAATCCATCCACCAAATTATCCACCTAATCCAATCCATTTAATCCAAATCCAATTAGATTGGTGGATTCATGGATCAATCCATGGATCCAAATGACAAATTACGATTTGATACCTATATTTTTTATATTTTACATTTTGGTACCTAAAATTTATATTTTTATACGAAAAATATCATTGGAAAATTACATTTTGGTACCTAAAATTTTTCATTATGACAATTTAGTACCAAAACTTTTCAAATTTTACATTTTGGTCCAAGCCTTGGATGTCATTTGGATTCATGGATCAATCCACCAATCCATTTGATCCAATCCATTGGATCCAATCCATTTGACCCTTGGATCCACCAATCCAATCCACGAATCCGATCCAATTGCCACCTCTATCCATAATCCATTAACGTGGTTCAGGGCGACAGTTTGTTTGTAGGATTAGTTTAGGGTTCGATCATTTTTTGCTCCGATAAGGGGTGGGTAAGAGTCGTGTTAATTAACTTAGCGGTAGGGTGACTACTTTTGGTCCTACGACCCATAACTAGGGATGGCAATCAAACCCATGGCCGCGGGTATCCGACCGCCCCCGACCCAGTCAACGCGGGGAATCCCCGCTTTGACCGGGTATGGGTCGGGTATGGGTAAAACCCGCAAAAAGTTTGATGGGTATGGGGCGGGTATGGTTTTAGCCTCCCCCGCCCCATACCCGCCCCACCAAGATAATTTCTTCATATATAAAAAAATTTGTGCATCAAATTATAATCTATCAATGATGATGAGGATAACTTGAGAAAATAAATAGTAGAAATGCAATTGAGTGACCACCTTAATCAGAATCTAATTCATTTCTCTTAATTCTCATTTCACTCTTTCATTTCCCCCTTGTCAACAAGATTATGTTAGTTAATTATTATTTAGTAGATGTATCAGAGTTAGAACATAATAATTTGAAAAATATTATACTCTATATTATGTATTAATGGATATTTTAGGATCATAATCTTTGAAACATATTAAAAAATGACCGTATTTTGTTGAGTTCATGATATAATATGTTCGTTTAGAGTTATAATTAGAACTTTTCTTGTAAATTTTAGATATAATAATGTTGGATGTACGGGCATGGGTATTACCCATGGGTACCCGAAACCCACGGGTATGGGGATGGATTTGCAAAACATTCCCCCGCATGGGTATGAGGCGGGTATGGGTTTGGGTATTTGAAGATGGGTATGGGGATGGTTTAAGCAAACCCGCCCCAAACCCGACCCATTGCCATCCCTACCCATAACATCTAGTAATTTCAGAAATTCCTCATACCAAAATTATTGGACATGTTTGTAGAGTTTCAAAAGTTAGGTTCTATAATGGAATAAAAAATACAATAAGGTATTAAAAATGTAATTCTGCCAACAACATTTCGGGACCTATATGTGTAGAAATCAAAGTTTAGGTACTGAATTATATAAAAAAAATTAAATTTGGATACCAAAATGTAATTGTCCGTATATCAGTTTGTTGACTTAGGCGCGACCCACTAACTCGACCCCCAGCTCGCGACCTGAACGGGTCAATTAGAGTCAAAGGAGAAATAAGATCGAACCGGACCAGATTTGTAGTTTGACCCCCTGTAAACTCGATATTTTAGAGTAGTTTATTAGGTCATGGTTGGATAATTTGGATTTGGTCCAGTTTTTCACGCCCCTACCTGTGCCCTTCTTTGCCCTAGCCAGGAGCATCAACTCCAAATACTCAATAGTGGGTTTCCCCCTGACATAGCGCATGCAGTCAGTATTCTCAATTGACTTGTTGTCTACGAAACTCTGCATGCTGCTCGATCGCATTTGATGGCTTGGCTGATATGATGATGAATTGATCATCAATGTCGACAAATGGCGATTGGATTTGGTGCAATGTTGCAGGCTTGCAGCCTTGTAGCCTAGGGCTCAAATGTGATACTGGATGGATGGTCTTGCTTGTTAGAAGCTTATACGAGTGATACTCCAATGTAGTTAAAATTGTGTTTTAAAATTTAAAAAATTATCTTTTCAGGTCACCAAAACGTTTCTACGCAAAAACTCAGTTTTAATAACTAATAATATAGTTAAAACGTGCTTTAAACCTTAAAACTTACGATTTTAGATCACCAGAACGCTTCTACGTAGAAATACGATTTTCACTACATTAACGAGTAGGTAGGGTAATTACAAGCTACACCATGAAACTCCAAAGGATCATGTGACGCACCCAAAATCTTACTAAGAAACTGAAACAAAATACATACGACGTCACATCTATTGTGTGGTCAATTATTTATTCTTCACATTTTAGTAAGGAACAAAATACATGATTTCCCAAATTCTGCATCTTGGAATTTTGTTAGTCGTCATACGGATAGTAGTTACAAACTTACGATTACATACTTGTTTAATTAGTGGTTTTTTTTTTGGAACTGTGGTGCTCATCCAATTCACCCGATTTTAATTAATTAGTAGGGTTTGGATTATGGGAAAAAAAGAAAATTGAGCACACTGGTTGAAATTGCGGCATAATTACTAAATACTTCGTTTAAAATATGTATATATGATCATATTTATTTTATTTGTTTAATTTCTGTATATGTATTATTGTCAAACTATTTCATTTTCATAATTCATTTGATAACGGTTTTAAACAAATCAGCCAAACATGTGGGACAATTATCTTTCCAAAGCCCAATCTGCCACAACGCAGGCCCATGTACCCACCCTCCTGGGTCCTTCCATGGCAAATGGCTTTTCGTTGATCCGGCCTCTTCTGGACCATATCCCAGGCCCTGTCGCTAGCCCAATCCATCAATACTCAGGCCCTTCGCATTTCGTGGTCCGGATTCTGGAAACAAATATTTTTTGAATGATGTTAGAGATAGATTAGAAGCAAAAGGATGTTAGAGACTCAAGGTCGGGCAAAATTCTGTTCTTGAGGCAGAACTTCGTCTTTCAGACTTCATGACCGTGATTCTCCTTCTTCAGCCAGCGAACTTCGTCTTTCATTCTTTGGGAGTACTCCTTTAGGATTGTTATGAGCTTTTTCGCCGACCATGGCAATGTTCTTTGACTCACTCTTTAAGAGAAGCTAATCAGGTGGCCGATGCACTCGCAGAGATTGGGCATGAATGCAAAAATGGGGTGCGTTTGTGGGTTTCTCCTCCGACTCCCTTAATTCCACTTGCTGAATCGGATCGGAGTGGAACCATATATCTAAGGACTTAGCAACTTCATTTTATTAGCTTGTTTTTTCTTTTCTGATGTAAAAAGAAAAAAAGAAATTAGAAATTCTTCTGTGTCCACCAGTTTCCGTTCAAGATTCAATAGCAAGCCATTTTGGTATGGATTATTGGATTGTATATCTCTTAACCTCCACAAATTCCATCTTGTTCTCTGCATATCTCTTATGCAATGCGTCTTTCACTTCTCATTTTGTCTTTTGAAAATTAGGTTTATAGTTAAAAATGTAATTTTTTTTTTACTAATAACTAGTATTTACTCAACAATATATAATCTATACACAACTACATTCATTCTTAATTAACATAGATTTTCACACTGATAAAACATACAAAGGTTTAAGCTCAAAACGAAGTACGGAAGCCCAGCTTCACATATATATGAGCAAATATTACACAACTGACAAGTCTTAACAAATCATAAGTGAACAAGATGATAATTAAGTACACACATTACACAAGTAAATTAATTTTTAACAACCCACAAATACTATGATTTATTCATAGCTATTTATTCCTTTTTAAACCGAAGCACCCACGTAACTTAGGATTTTTCATCATGATTATCCAAAAAAGCCATGGTGCTTCTTTTTCCCCTCGGAATTATCCTCATCATAATCACCACCAGCACTAGCAGTCTTACTCTCATCATCATCACGACCGTACTTCTCGGTGGTCCCGTAACCGGTCTGGTCATCATCGGTCGAACCGTACTTGCTGCCCGCTCCAGTACCGGTCCCGCCATACCCGGACTCGGTCTTGTCCGACCCGTAACTGGTCTCCTTTCGGTCGTAACCGGTCTCTACCTCGGCGTTCTGATGGTCGAAACCGTACTTGTCGCGGCCCACGGCTCCGTAGCCAGATCCGGTCTGGTTCAGGTCAGATCCGTAATCGGACTTCTCCTGGCCGTAAGTACCGGTCCGTTCGTCGGACCCGTACTCGTCACCTCGGCCGCCTCCGTATCCACTCTCGGTCCCGGTCTGGTCGGACCCGTAGCCGGTTTTCTTGTGACCGTAACTGCCGGTCTCTTCAGCGGTCCGGTCGTCCCCGTAGCCGGTTTCGGTCTTGGTCTGGTCAGATCCGTAACTGGTATTCTTTCGGCCGTATCCCGCCTCCTGATCGGTTTGATCGTCACTTCCATACTTGCTTCCGGTTCGACCGCTGCCGTAACCGGTATCGGTGGTTTTCTCATCAGACTCTCCATACCTGCAATTGAAAATATTTGGAGTCGCTTAACCTCCGTAACATGAATTGACTCCGTGGCCCAATGGATAAGGCGCTGGTCTACGAAACCAGAGATTCTGGGTTCGATCCCCAGCGGAGTTGCTATATTTAAACTAATATTTTTTAGTAAAGGAAGAAAATAAAAACCTGGTGGCGCCGCCGTAGCCAGTCTCAGTCGGCCGGCTCTCAGAGTCATAGTTGGTGCGGCCGGCCGCGGCAGCTCCATAGCCGGAGTCGGTCTCGCCGGAACCGTACTTGGAGGTACGGCCGCCGCCGTGGCCGCCTTCAGTCAACTCGGTCTGATCATCGGTGGTGGTGCCGTATTCGGAGGAGGGCTTGTCGTCGGACTTGTCCTTGTTGCCCCAGCCGAAGAGGCCGCGGTGGCCGGTGGTCTGCTCCTCGTCCGCCATTGTTGTTGTTTTAGTTGTAGAAGAAAGAAGAATGGGAGAAGGGAAGTGATGGTGATGATGGTGTGGGAATTGCGGTTGTGTTGGGTGGTCCTATTTATAGGTTTAAACCGGTAAGTTTTTTGTTTTTTTTTTTGCGTAATTGGTACCGTCCACTCCTTATTAACGGATAAATTTGACTCAAAAGATAAAGCTAAGGTCCGAGTTACGTCGAGTCGACATTGATCATCAATGCACCCTTACAAAGCTACCATTCCTAACTTGAATTCAATTCACCACACTAACTTAATTAATCAGTAGTATTAGGATGGCAAAACAATTCTGGGTAACCCCGTCAGAATTCGAATTGATTTGTCGGGGAAATTGCGACTGATATTAATTTTGGGTGGATGATTTTCTCCGAAGCCGACAAAGAGAGTAGTGGATTGGGTGCGGTTTTTGGTATTTAAAGTATCCGCACGCACCGAACCCATAGGAATATGTGTTGTAACTATATTCTAGACTCATTTGCTTTACCACTTCGTTAATCCGTATCGCTAAAACATTATAGTTGTCTCTTAGATCTCAGATTTTGTTCGTTCTCTCTCTTTCTTTTTTAACAAAATATGTGACAAATTAAAGAAACTTCATTTTACATTGACATTCAAAGAATCCGCGTACTCTGATTGATTTTGATAATGACATATTACACCCCCCACATAGTTTTGATACGAGGATAGTTACTATTTTAAAACCGTGGCTCGAGGATGATATATATGAAAAGCCAATCTCATACGAATCGGTTGTCATCCATATTATTCTTTCTTTTCTTCTTCTTTTTCTTTTTATAAACACGTGTCGGTCAATAAAAATAAAATCAATACAAATTCAATTAGTAAAGATTAAATTAATCATTTATGTTAGACGATGGTTTTGTCATATTTCAACTAAACTATCATTTATAAATAAATCACTCAACTAATTCCATTGATCGAACTTGAGGTCGCAAGGTTTTGGAGCTCGTTAGCTCGGCGTCCTAAATATCCCGAATACCGTGTTGTGTCCTTCGGACGGCCCGCGTCGCCTAATAGCCAAATGACCGACGGTTTCCGTTAACTGTGTGTGGACACGTACCAAACAGTGATTCGGCGGTGGCGGGGCCAATCAAGTACAAAGATAAGGCCCCATAACAAACAGGGTGAGTGACTCATCACGAGTCCGAGAGTGGAAGCTGTGGGAAGTTGTCTGTCGGCTAGGATGACAACAACCCGTGGCTACCCATGAACCCGTGTATACCCTATGTTAGTGTTGTGGTATATGATCTACGATTAAACATCTTCCAACAACTAGAGTTATTGGGATTAACTGGTTCTTGACACCCTGCGGGTTGAGTTGGGTTTGAGTTTTTCTAACCCAGTGGGTTTTATCCAGGGTTTTTTTTTTCACGGACAAACCCATAGGTTTAGGTTTGGGCAGCGGCGGATCCAGAACATAGTAGAGCACTGGGCCGCATTTGAATATAATATTAGATGCCGTAAACAAAAATAGAATTTAAGTATTTCAAATAAGAAATTAGTTACAAAATTACCAACGGTAAAAGACAAATGACTGATATTTTGATGCATTTCAAAAGATTTAGCTAATATTTTATATTTGGAAAGTCTTAAAGATTTGGTTAATAAATTGTGTTTTATTAATGCCAATTGTAATAGAAGGTTTATTAATTTGGCAAATCCCATCAATAATATAATCTCCATCCATACCAATAGCATACTCTCTCTCAAATAAAATAGCTATGCAAAAAATGAAAAATTCATCGCGCATTTTGTTGCGCAAATTAGTTTTCACATATTTCATTGCTTAAAATGTTCTCTCTATGGCAGCCGCTATAAACGGGCGAGGTCAACACTGGACGAATCAATCAAAAAATCACTTTGTTTAGAGGGTTTTCTTATTTTAATGAAATTTTATACGATCTTTTACGTTTTAGACATTTAGGTTTTTTTTTTCAAATGAAAATCATTCGGGCTAGAATTTCTAGGCAAAATTGGAGTAGTTGTTTGCATATGTTTATCTAGACCGCTTTTCTAGCTACACAAAATTCTATTATCAAATAACACTCAACCGACTTTTAAATAATACTGGGCCGAATACCTAAATCGAAAATCTTGTAAGCACTATACTAACTCTGGATCCGACGGAGGGCTGGGCCGTGGCCTGGGTTGGCCCAGCCCTAAATCCGCAGCTGGGTTTGGGTTTGGCAAAACCCGACCCATTGCCATCCTTATTGTCGGCAAAGGCATATCCCCTTGGCACCTAGCTAGATCCTCCATCTCTTTACTTTACTGGGAAACTTTACTTTTGCTCCTTTGTGGTGCCAAGTCGTGTGAGTTCATTTATGTGTGTGTTTTTGCTGCCCCACCACAGCCTGTGTCTATTTTCTACATAACAGAGCGCCTTCTTCACCTGTCGATGTATAACTGCCATTCATTACTCGTTCGCAACACGTAATTCGCCATTATTCACTGCCAACTTGCTCCGCCAATTGCCCTATCAATGCAATCGACCCACCACCCTAGATGTGTGCTTTCCTGTCCGTTTGTGCTATGGATTTGTTTTGGGTGTATTATATTAGGGTATTCATCGCAAACACGTATCACTAATATCTGCTTCATCGATCTCCATGTCACTGGCTAAGAGAAGCCTCACTCAAAAAACTGCCTTCAATCAAAGTTGTTCAAGGACAATATCGTTGCATGAAAGCCTTCAACTGTCAACAACGTGTACAACTGCCGTCCATTCATTTCTCCAACACGCAAATGCAATTACTCACTGCCACCTTGCGCTCATTGGGATAATGGCATTGCCCTATATCAATCAACCCACCACCCTAGATTTGTGCTACATGTTTGTTCTCCCACGTGTAAGGTTGGGCATTCGGTCGGTTCGGTTTCGACCGAATCGAAATTATGAATACCGGGTATCTGATTTTGTAAGACACAAGAAAGGAGAATTGGGAATTTAGGGATTGAGAAGAGTAGAATTTAGGGATTTGGAGAATTGGGGAAGAACAAGAGAGAGAATAGAGATTAGGGATTTGAGAATTTCTGATTATTATTGCCTAACTTCCAAAACTAATGAGATGCATCCTTAAGTAGCAGACTAGCAGTAAACTGAAATAACACAAAATAACAAGTTTGCCACTCCTTCCCCCCCTTATGGCCGACTCGGCCCTCTCCCTCTCTAACCCGAGGCCGGGTTTCCCACAGATTTCTCCCAAACCTCAAACCGAATTCGAACCGAATTATAATTCGGTTCGGTCAGTTTAAACCGAATTATAATTCGGTTCGGTTTTTCACAAAACCGAATTTGTTAAACTACTTGTATCTTCTCACTTTTAAATTATTTTTACCCCTACTATAAACAATAAATATGTAATTATATGCATCATCAATGATAAAAAATCAAACTTTTCAACACATAAGTCATAAAACATTTCAAATATTTAAGTCTAAAAACAACTACAAACATAAAAATCCACCATTTGGAGCTTGCAATTATTGTATTTCGATTTTTCGATCGGAAATTCGATTCGGTTGAGATAACCCTGATTTCCGAACTATCCATATTTTCCTTCCAAATTTTGAACCGAATAGCATTAATTTGGTTTCGGTTCGATTGAGATTTACCGAACCGGTTGCCCACCTCTACCCACGTGGGTTGCTACTTGCTACTTGCTAGTGCAAAAGATCATTTCTAGGAAAAGTACCTCAATCCTTGATATGGGCCTCAAAATTTGACAGGATCCAGAAAAGTCTGAGTTACAGTGTTGGACAGAAAAGCCCATCCAATAGGCCCATACTTAACTAAGTAAAAGCCCGCACGATTTAGAATCAACCAAATTACCAAAACCAAGGAACTTGCCGATAGTTACGGAATCTGGGTCGCTTTCAAAGAAGTCTCTGAACCTGGGTTACTCCAAGGCGATTGCTCCCCCATAACAAACAGCCGCTAGAAACCCTCCATAAGCCAAGCAATGTGCACCAAGCTGCCAAACATCATCCATACTTTCTGCAACCACGAACCCACATTTCGCGTCCCGATTACTACTGGCCGGCCACTTCTGAACCCAACTCAAATCCATGGGATCCTCGAACCGCTCCAGGTAATCACATCCCTTCGAAAGATAACCCCACGACCTCCGTGTGTAACCACCGATACAATCAACCAACTTGCACTTCACGGTCTCGAAATCAGCATACGAAACCGCCTTCAGTGCATCCACGAACGAGCACTTCGAGCACCTGTACTGCTGAGCAACGCGAGAAGGAGGAGGAGGAGGAGAAGAGCTCGAGGAAAGCGTTAGTAAGCACTCTCCAGCGCTCGCCCAGTAGTTTGCCACGCAAGCAACCAGCGAAGGCTCGAAGGTCAGCAGATGGTTCGCTGCAGCAGCAAGAAACAAGGCGTATGCTGCACTTGTCCTGGTCTTGCTGAAAGATTCAGGACAATGGTGGTGGTCGGATGTTAAGCTGCTGGTGCTGGCGTGGATTCTGTATGCAGAAGATAGTGTGGTATATGCATTGATGGCGAGGTGATGAAGCGGATGCAACCTAAGACCGGAGAGACCGGAGACGAGAAGGTGTTCGAGTTTTCTGCAGCAGGTTTCGGGGTCGCCATCATCTGAGAGGAAGTCTGTTATGACTTCATCTACGTAATCAGTTAACCTCCTTCCAGTTGCTTCAACATTGTCAAATCCTTGAGAAGTAGCAATTTCCTGAATGTTTGTTCATCAGCTAATGAGATCAATCATGGGGATTCAAAGATGAAAGGATGTGACTGTCAGTTATGGAAACAACATACCTCCAAAGCACGATCAACGTAGGATGAAGATGATGATGAACTGCAGCGTTTACAGCAGCAAATGAAGCGGTATTTCGACCAGAGCTCTGAACTTCTTGCTGCCTGGAGAGAAGGTTGGAAAATTGAGTGAAAATCAGAGGATATTTGCCAATCCTGATGTGGGAAGGATTATTTTACTGATCATACCTTTGGTTGCAGCAAGTCTGTATACGCCACGGTGATCTCTTCGCCTTTCTTGATCCTTCTAATGCTCCTTACAACAATTCTCGGCCCATATCCGCCTCCGCCGGCGGACGCAGCATTCTCCACCTGAAAACCACCGTTCAGTCAATTCAATTTACAGTGATGAAAGAAAACCTACAGCGGAGAGAACAATGGAGGATTGAAGTTAAGATTACCGTGGGACCGGAGGGAACGATTCGGAGATCCGAATCCGGTGGCGACGGCGAGAGATCTGGCGACGGGAGAAGAAACCTGTAGCAAGCGTTGGGAGAGCAGCTGTGATTGATCCAGGAGAAAGCGGAATCGTAAACGGCGATTCCGATTCCTCGCCCTTTCTCATCTACAACCTCCACTCCGTTGGTGATCACCAAGCAAATCGCCGATTCCTCTTCTTCGGCGGCGCCGTTCCCCCTTCCCCTCGCAGCGGCCATCGCGGCAGCTCCGCTCCTCACTCGATCGGAGATCTCGTCGCCCTCCGCCAGCAATTTCTCGCGGTTGGTAAGCAGACCGAACATCCGATCCCCGGAGGCGGCGGCGGAGCTCGTCCGGAGGAGGCGGAGGTCCGCGGAGGACTCGGAAGAGGGCGACGGAGGCGAGGAGTCGAGGAGATTGGATTCCGCTGAGGAGAAGTGGAGAGGCGAGTCGGCGGCGGAGCAAAGAGGAGAACAGTAGAGGACGGACGAGGAGGAGGAGAGATGACGGTGGTGGCGGGGTGGGAACGGCCGACCGGAGAGAGGGGAGAAACAAGCGGAGCAGTGGGAGTGAAGAAACGCATCGTGAAGGGAGAAGGAGATCGGTGGAATCGCCGGCGTTATGTCGCGGCCGATTTCCACATCCTCTCGAGCTCTCATCTCCATCTCCGCCATTGCTCCCTCGCCTCTGTCCGATACTTCTTTAGCCTATTTAACAAGCAAGGATGAGAAACGAACACTGAAACTGAGCTTCAAGAGGACAATATTTCATTAGGAAACCATCAATTTGCAATTACAGAGTCTTTCTGTCTTTCATCATGATCTACATTCTATGGGGAACAAGAAGGGAAGAAAAATGGAGGGATTGAAGGATGGCAATGGAGCTTTGGTTTTCTTCTCCTGGAAATCTCTGAGCTTTCATGAAATTTGGACGAAGAAGGAAGAAGCTTAAGATTGCTGGACGCTAAGAGAGCTTTCTATGCGTTGGACGAGTTGGTCTCTGGGCAATGCACCTTCCTGAAACCCAAAATTTAACAAAACTTGACGCATTGAGAACGGTTGTTCATGGAATTATGAAATAGATGGGATGGACTATGGAGAAATGAACTCTTACGAAGCGATCGATAGGCTTCCCGTCTTTGAACAGGATGAAAGTGGGCAATGCCTGGATGTCGTATTGGGTAGCAATGGCGCTGTACTTTTCGGTGTCGATTTTCACCACCTGGACTGAGTCCTTCATGATGCCGCTCACTTCCTCCAGAATTGGAACCATGAACTGGCATGGTCCACACCTGAGTTATAAACAGGTTTGGATGAATGGTGATTTTGGATGGGACAGAGAGAAATGACCATTGAGGATGAGGGAAATCATATGGGAGACTGTTATTACCAGGTTGCGTAAAAATCGACCAGTACGGGTTTGTCTGACTTCTGCAGCAGCTCATCTAAGTTGGCGAAGCTTTCCTTCTTTGCAGAAACCTAGCAAGAACCCAACAAATCAGTTGTGAGCAATTCCCACATTTACCAACTATGAAGGTTTCATTTTGAGCACTCAAACTAGGTGAAAACCTGTAGTTCATATGAAGCTTAACCAAAAGTCACTTCAGAATCGCATTCTACAATCACATATCAATACTGTTTTACAAACACAAGCATAACAAACATGTACCAGAACGGACAGTAGAATGATGATGGACTTCGCTAGAGAAAGATCAACTTATTCAAACCTCGACTGGGAAATCGCCTTAACAGTAATCAACTGGGCATACTTAGTTCACAAGAATGGACTGTAAATAAACACAAGATATCCATGATCAAAGAAAAAGAGCCATGATATATTAGACCTTCCTCTTGAACACTGAAGCAGCAACAACTATCAACTATCTAGTTCACAGCAAAATACATTATGACCTTTTCGTCAGTTTACCAAGGATCCACTGAAATATTCTGCTATAGTAACTCCATAGGAGCAATGGCACAAAGGGTTCAATAGGAATAAGTATGGCCTAAAGAACTGTCATGAACAAACAGAAATCTCTCATCTTTCTGTCGATGAATAGGGTGATCATCAGAAATGCAATCTTTGATTTCAAAACAAAACTAGGCATAAAATGTCTAATTGCAATCAAAAGGATACTACCAAGAGGAAATGTTACTCAAAGTCAAAACTCATGATTAGAAGAGAGAAAATCATATCGAAGCACAAAGTAGCTACCTAGCTATACCGGCAAGAGGGAATCATCAGTTTCAGCAATTGACTTAAACATAGAAGACACATCACAACAGTAGAGTTATCAACAAACAACAGCTAGAAGAGCAAGCAACTGAAGATTCTCAAGTATGCAAAGCTTAAGCATCAGCAGAAGAAATGTGCAATCAATCCAAGAAACCGCTAAGCTTAGGTTGGGCTGAGAACTGGCAATTTATACTATCCCCAGTCAGAAAATCTGATCATCCTGACTGATAACTCAAGAACACCTCGAATTCTGATTAGTAATCAGCATCTTCTGTGATTTCACCCTTGGTTTTCTTCAAAGTTTCAATCTTTAGGCAGACAACATTTTGCCCAAATATCTATCTTCCAACTAAGTGATCATGTCATCAGTCATATAAGATGTTTTAAGACTGGAGGGTTCATACTGGAGACGGAGGGTCTCTCTGGAATAGGGCTTCCGCGGAGACACCTATTCCATAGACAGACTCCAAGAAGAGCAATGGCAGAGTTCTTCTGAAAACCTAGAAAAACAGTGAAGACAATACAACCAAAGAAAACCACCGGTAGGTGATGTCAAATTACTGAACTAAGGGATTCTCGTTCCTTTCAACTTAGTTTCATAATGCGAGGGAATCGAAAATGTACACTAAAAGTACCCCAAATAGGCAAAACCCCATCAACTTGGTTCCAATCCGCCATTGAAGCTCGAAAGCCCATCAATTCAAATCGGCCATAGAAAAAGTCAACCGTGTTCTCTTCTTACCTTAGGTAGGATTCGAGAAGGTCCGGCGGGGGACGAAATCCGTGAGTTGGAGAACCAGTTAGGTTTCAGATGGAACGGAAGCTGCGTCGCGGAGGAGAATGAAGATAGCTTGGAAGAGGAGTAATGGTAGCTCCCGGAATTCGGGGTTCCGAAAGAAGATGTGATTGCCGACGAAGCAGAGATGGAAGAAATCGCCATTGTTTTTTGGTGGGAAGATGAAAATTGTTCGGTTACTTTCTACTAAAGCGACTGCTGGAGATGAAAGGAAACTCCGACGATTTTGGAGGTGAAGGAATCCAAGCACAGAAATATCTGTATTTTTCTGGGCGAGGAAGATTAGATTGGAGATTGGACAAATTTTTGGAAGGAAAGTGCAAGAAGAGAGAACCGGTGAGAAAGTTTCCCTTTTGGTCACCAAACTGTAATATTAGTTTCATATAGCTACCATAATTAATTCTTTGACATGTGAGTTGTGACAAATGACATGTGCTCTCTTCTTATTTTGGTAATCCTGCCATCATGGTCATCTAATTAATCTTGGACCCCTTATATATGATAGATTGGGCCCCTTGAATAATCTTGAACCTCCTTAATTAGTCTCTAAACTTGACTTAATCTCACAAACACTTGGGAATATGGGCTTTAGTGTTGATTGATGTCTATGGATGATGAAATTCTTCTACAAGCTTATTTGTTGTTTTCAAATGTCTTCGATGATGATAACCCGTGAAGAATTAGTTAGTACCAAGGTTGTCAAACCGGTTTATGCCGGTGTGCCGGTTTTGTAAGTGGAATGGTCTGACCGTGGTACAACCAGTATTCATGCCGGTTGTGCCGGTTTTAATAAAATACATGAGGAAAATGGAAATCCTCAATTCCAAATAAATTAGTCATGAAAAAGCAAATAGAAGAATTATGTCACACAAAATAATTCATAGCTAAGAATTGGTAACTAATACTAAACAATTAGATGCTTAAAAATAAAATTTTATTAAAGTGAATTTTATTAATGTTTATAATGATTTGTATAAAATTTAGTATTAGATATATAAAATATAAGGTTAATGTAGACAACAAAATTGCTTGTAGCCTACTGGTGTGTAAGTTAAACTAAAATGAACATGAGGTACTTGGTTCAAATCCTATGGAGGATGTTTATTTTTGGATATAATGTGTGTAACATTAAATTCCGGTTTATGGTCTAACCGGCCGGAATTTCCGGATCTGACCGGCATTGACCGGATTTGACCACAGTTAAATGCCGGCCCCTTTCCAACCGGTTTGCTGACCGGTACCGGTTGAACCCGGTTGAACCGACCGGCATGAAACCGGTTTGACAACCATGGTTAGTACTAATAACTCGAGTTGTTGGAAGAAGTTTAATCATGGATAATACACCATTTACTTACACATCTCGTCAAACGAAAACTACCATATATGGTTTTGAAATTTGCACAGGTCCGGACACCATGTGCTTAACAAAACAAATGAGGTCATTGGGATACAAACAAGAGACCTCTCGATATATAAGGCTTTGATACCATGTCAAGAAACCGTTGATCCCAATAACGAGTTGTTGAGAGGTTCAATTGTGGATCATATACTGTTTATTAACATACCCCCTCAAACTCAATCCACTCAGATAGGTTTGGAGTTTGCACATGCACAGGTCCGGACACCATGTGCGTAACAGAAGCAGACGGGGCTCATCGGGACTCGAACATGAGACCTTTCGGTCATAGAAGACTCTGATACCGTGTGAAGAACCATTTAGTCCCAATAACTCGAGTTGTTGGGGGAAGTTCAATCGTGGATCATATACCAATTAATTACACACCCTCTCAAACGAAAATTACCATACATGAGTTTGAAGTTTGCACAGTTGCGGACACCATGTACTTAACAAAACATATGGGGTCAACGAGATACGAACAAGAGATCTCTCGATTACAGAAGACTCTGATACCATGTCAAGAATCAGTTGATCCCAACAACTCGAGTTATTGGGATCGGTTGGTCTATGACATGGTATTAGAGTTGACTTGTCCAAGTGATCGTGTGTTCAAATGTCCACGACCGTACTCCCAATATTAACAGTTGATTAAGCACAAGACATTATGAGCATGTGTAAAACTTTAAGTCCATGAGTCGGCATTTGTTTGAGTAGGTGTGTAAGAGAATGTTATAATATCCATAATAACCTTCTCCCACCAACTTGAGTTATTGGGATAAACTGGTTTTTGACAAACTCGTCCACTTAAACTTTTTAGAATTAAACTTTTTAGAATTGAAGATAAGATGAGATCTCATTACTTCATTGGTTATTATTATTTCAGTTATTAGAGATCATTGTCTAGCTTATTTACATCTTATTCATTTTTAGAGAAGGAAAAAAAAAACGCAAAGGAATAGTTTCTTGTGGAATTTGAAAATGGAAGGATTTGGCCGAACTATGAACTAGAAGTATGAAAATTTTGTGTTGGAATTGGGTTGTTTTGACTTTGAAAGTTTGTTGTTTGTTTATGGAATTTGATTATGGGTTTTGCTATATTGGATTTTTGTGCTCAAAAGGAAATTTACCTTGTATACATAATTAAAAGTATTTTCAATTTTCTTTTGTTTTAATTTTTTTACTCATTTTGTCTAATTGTTTACCCTCAAGAACGATAACTAAATTTTTTCAAATCTTATGGTTTTCAAGGATTTTAAGGTCCATTTTGAATTAATTGAATTTTGACCAAATTGAACCAACTTAAAAGAATAAAATCAAATCATTGTGTCAGATTTACTTATTTTCCCTCCAAATTAGCAAAACATAAAACTTTTTTTCCTTCTCCCCCATCAACATTATCTAGGTTTTTTTCACCAGCCATCACCGACCATCATCAATTCACGTCATTCATTAATCATTATTGATTCATCACTTTTCAACATTAACCTTGAAAAATTGGAATATTCCCAATTTCATTTAATCCCCCGACATTAACTGCATTATTCGCGCAACTAATCTGTGACCGGAGAATATAATTAAAAAAACAACTCAGCTACCACCACCATCATAAATCCATAATCGACCCAAATTTAGCAAAGACATTTGGTTACTTTCACTTATCATACTTTGCCGTATTCTCGGATAACGCCAACAAGATGCATCCAAGATTCTACGAAGTACTCATGGAGCCGGCTGTCCAATATTCCAAAGAAGTCAACACAAGAAGAGAAACAAAAACAGGAAAGAAAACAGAGGCTAAGTGCCAATCCTTCTGAGGTCTGGATTGCTAAATTTAGCTCCATTTGTTTGTTACGTTGGACCTCTGAAGCAGCGGTACGGCCAAGACCGATGAACTATATAAACAACACAAGTTAACTAACTCATTCATCGAAATCACTGAAAAAAAACCATTGAGGAAGAGAGATATGGCGGTTCAGAAAAGGGTTGTGTCGATTCTCTTCATTCAGCTACTTCTCCATGTTGTTTTGAACCCGAACCGGGCCAGTGGAGCCGGTTTGCGAACCGGTTTCTACGACGAGACATGCCCCGACGCAGAGGCCATAGCTTTCGAGACGCTTCGCAAGGCCGTCTCCAAGGATCGAACCGTTGCTGCCGCTGTGCTCAGGCTCCATTACCACGACTGCTTCGTTAGAGTAAGTTACTAATTAACAAGTTGTTAACACAAGAGAAAAAACGTTATTTGACATAATATGGGAAAATTGATGTTATAATAATGTTGTGTGTGTTTGTTTTAATCGGCAGGGTTGTGAGGCTTCGGTGCTTTTGGATGGAGCAAAGAAAGGTGACGCCGAGAAAGATGCGTCGGTGAACTTCCAGCTTAAGAGGGTTCGACGTGGTCGACGATGTGAAGTCCGCCATTGAGAAGAGATGCCCTGGTGTGGTTTCTTGTGCCGACGTTTTGGCCATGGCGGCTCGTGATGCGGTTCGACTGGTAAGAGTTTCAATCCTCATATCTCACATCACTGTAATATTTTTACATATGGTTTCTAGTAGGGGTGGCTATACGGTCCGGCCCGGTTGAATTGGCCCAAATTGATTCGGTCCAGTCCGGTGTTTTTGAAAATATAAGGACCAAAGATTGGATTGGATACAGTTCGGTTTTGATCAGGTCCGGTTTTGACCCCGTCCGGTCCCAATTTGGTCTTGATTTTATATTGAGCTTGTTGAGATTTGAGTGGCCTAAGGCCTGAAAGGGTGAGGAGTTGGTTAAGTTTTGTATTATGTGCAAAGGTTTGTGACCGTTTATGCAAATTACCCTTAAGTTTTGGGTGTTGAGCTCTCTTATCCGGTCTTTATCCAGTTTTGATCCGATCCCGAACGGTTTTTTTTACCTCAAATCTAAGCCCAAAGATTGGATTGAATTGTTTACTATCCGGTCTCGGTCCGGGATATACGGTCCGATTTTGGGTAAAACCAAAAACCCGGATGAAATAGCCAGCCCTAGTTTCTAGTTTTCATGCAAGTTCTGATTATTTTACATATGTTAAACGTTTTTTTTTTACTATGTTTTCAGACGGATGGGCCATTTTGGAAAGTTGAAACCGGACATAGAGATGGAAGAGTCTCACTCAGCACGGAGGCGGATGAAAGCATGCCGTTCTCGTTTTTCAACATAACTCGACTAAAGCAAAACTTTGCGTCCAAGGGTCTAACCAAGAAAGACTTGTGTGTTTTGTCAGGTAAAAATAGTTTAAAACAATTTATAATTACGGTTGTTACCACAGTTTGACTTTGACATATTTGAAATGACTTCGAATTTTCAATATGCATAAGACCATAACCCTTTGGAATCATTAATGAAGTCCTACTACAATGTAAAATCATTAGAGTTTTGTTATGAACGCGCTGCTACGGATCGGGAAATTGCTGAAATCGACAGAGCAAGAATACGAAAGCGAGAATCGAAAACACGACACACGATTTACGTGGTGCACTAACACGATGTGTGTTAGCTACGTCCATGGGCGAGAGAGAGCCAGTTTCACTATATCGAGGAGATTACAGATTACAACGGAGTATGAGAAGTATTTATAGTACTTCTCCATGTGGGTCTAAACCTAATCCAATCTGGCAAAGAAAACGGTTACAGACCAGGCCCAGAACCCGAACCCAAATAAAATTGAACCCATACACCGAGGGCCGGGGGCGTTGCCCCCGCACCCCCACCGACTAATCCAGTCGTAGCGGCTGATAATCCGATTCAAATCACATCAACAAGTTTAAACTTAGAGGCTCGTTCGATCTTTAAACCGGACAATAAGTGTATCCGTTCTTCATCCAACGAGGATATATATAGTTTTCTATGGAAAATAAGTACATTGTTTAGTGGTTGAATTGAAGTTCTCTTTGTAAACTGAAAAATGGCGATCAAACTTCATCATATTTTATTGAAATGAAAAACAGGTCTTAAGTACAATCAATGACCCAACAACTTGCACCAAATCCGGCCACTAATCTAACCCACTAGTCCTAGAATGCAGCAATGACTAATCAGCAGCCCAGAAGTACTTCTACAGTTCTACTGGACATCAAACTCTTATCAACAAATACGACACAGTTCAGACTTAAAAGAGCTCACGTGACAAACCACGTCGGTTGCACACTAACAAGCTCTAACACTCTTATGATCTCAAATGTCACTTGTACTATCTATTATCAATGTTTAGGTCCGAGCGGAAATATTGAATCCGAAATCATCATAAGCGATAGAGTAGTACGAAACGATGAATCATGATCCAAAATTTTATTACAAAATACTTTATCACCGATATCTGTATGATATCCTGTACCATTTCACAATCCTTACCATTTATCTTTATCCCGTTGCTTTCAGGGGCGCACACAATTGGCGTTGCGAGTTGCTCCGTGATCACCCGCAGACTTTACAACTTCACCGGGAGAGGCGACGCCGAACCGTCCCTGGACCCAACCTACGCTTCGGAACTGAGGAAGAAGTGCAAGCCTGACGGCGCCGGCGCCGGCATTGAGCTCGACCGAAAAAGTTCGAGGACTTTCGATACACATTTCTACGAAGGCGTAACGCAAACCAGAGGTCTCCTCATTTCTGACGCAGCACTTCTCGACGATTCTGCGACTCGAGCTTATGTGGAACGCCAGTCGAGTTATGGTGTTGGGGCGAGTTTTGGTAGGGATTTTGGCGAATCGATGGTGAGGATGGGTGGGATTGGAGTACTGACAGGAAATCAAGGGGAGATTAGGAAACGTTGTGGATTTGTGAACTGATTGTGATGATTATGATTACGATCGTGATTATTGGTGGAAGTTGTTGCTCACTATAGTTTTTTTTTTTGATAAATGAGGAAATTTTATTGAGACAGACAAAAAGAAAAAAAGACAAAAATTCAACCAACAGCTGAAAAGAGCAAGGAAAGAAACAAAACTGAAAACAACAACGAAAAAACACTAAGAAAACCTCGAAAGATGGGACGAAAACTCAAACCAAGAACGACACAAAAAGAGAAAACTAAAAAAACAAAGAAAAACACTCCTCTCATGATACTACATTACAACAAAAACACACTCAAGAACAAAAACTATCTAACTAGTGGATAATATTCGGAACCATTCCAGGCACACGTCATCAGTAATCAACTTTCGAGCGAGCATCCATCTCCCAACCGAATGAATGATCTTATAGCAAATGCTTCGGGGTGGTGACTCTGTATCTCTGAAAACCCGATGATTTCTTTCCAACCAAATAAGCCAAAACACTGCATGAGGAAGAAACCTCTTGCACCTATTAAATCGAGAAAGACAAACCGCACCTCTCCATGCTATCAAAAACATCTTCGGGTCCTCTGGAAATGGCCCAAAGATTGAAAGGACCTTCCGGAAGGTAGACCAAACAGTAGAGGCAAAAGGACATGAGAAAAGAATGTGAGAGACGGACTCCTCATTGCACTTACATAATGGGCATCGGTTAGGGAAAGTCAGGCCTCTTCTACGAAGATTATCCAACGTAGATACCTTGTTATGAGCCGCCATCCACACAAAGCAACAAATTTTAGAAGGAACGAGAGGGATCCAAATAAGTTTGTGGGGGAAGGAACTATCTCCCTTGAATTCATCCTGTATGAGCTTGGTAGCGAAAGAGTGCACAGAGAACCCCCTCAAACTCTCGAGCGGCCACACCAAAGATGGAGGCCCAGCGGTAATCATCAAGGGATGAAGAGTTGAGAGGAGCTGCATTAGATCGAGATACTCCTGATGTGCACCTCCTCGTAGTGCAATGGAAAGGGGAATTGTTTGAAACAACCTGTCATCCACATCAAACATGTCAGAAACATACACGTCTAAGGATTGGGTAGCTGCTGCAATCCTTGGAAACTCTCTCACTAAGTGTTTCCCAGGAATCCACACATCATGCCAAAAAGAAACCCCATTCCCTCCCCCAGGATCAATATAGGCAAACTTCCAAAAGAAGGAACCCTCCTTTACAATATACTTCCAAACAGACCATCCAGAAGAACCCAAATTCCACCTTTGGTGCCAATCGGACTCACCTCTCCCACATTTCATCACAATTAACTTCCTCCACCATGCATCTCTCTCCATGCCGAATCTCCAAGCCCACTTTCCCAATAATGCACGATTCATGACCCTCATATCCAAAACCCCTAAGCCACCCCGATTAATAGGGGTTTTCACCACCTCCCAACGAACAAGGTGCAACCGTTTAGTCTCTCCTGTACCCGACCATAAGAAATCATTGAAAAGCTTTTCAAGTCTAGCAATAACTGTGACAGGAGCTTTAAAGAGGGAGAGGAAGTAGATAGGCAAACTGGACAACACACTTTTAAGAAGAACCAACCTTCCACCAAAGGAGAGAAATCTCGTCTTCCATGATGCTATTCTAGATTGAACTCTAGTAAGAACCGGTTCCCACACTGCAATTGAGGAGGCCCGTGTACCTAAAGGTAGCCCAAGATAAGTTGCGGGAAAAGTTTCAACATCACACCCAAAGATCCTTGCAAAGCGAAGAGGATCTGACACCTCTCCAACCACCATCATCTTACTCTTGTGTAAATTCACTTTGAGCCCCGACACAGTTTGGAAGATAATGAGAGCTGTGAGAATGTACTGAACCTGTTCTTCCGATGCATCACAAAAAATCATGGTATCATCTGCATAAAGGATATGAGTAACCTCCCCCATCTGTGTTGTCTCGTCCATAAAGAAACCAGTTACCAATCCTTGTGCTCGAAGCATCCTAATGATCCCGGATAAAATCTCCATGACAAGAATGAATAGAAAGGGTGATAGGGAGTCACCCTGACGAAGCCCTTTCTCACTAGAAAAATATCCTGAGGCCTCCCCATTAACAAGAACAGAGAAGGTAGCTGTAGAGATACAACTCTTAATCCATGTTATCCAAGTGATTGGAAATCCCATGCTCTTCATTGTAGATAACAAACACTCCCAATTGACATTGTCATAAGCTTTCTCAATATCCAGTTTGAAAACCAACCCCGGTCTTCCACTTCTCTTTCTAGAATCAATCAACTCATTAGCGATCAAAGAAGCATCCAAAATCTGTCTATGCCCCACAAAAGCACATTGTTCCTCAGCAACTAATTCACCCATGAACTCCCGCATGCGCTCCATAAGCACTTTGGAAAGGATCTTGTACAAACTGGAAACCAAACTAATAGGTCTGAAATCTTTTATATCCTCTACAGCCTCCTTTTTAGGAATAAGACATAAGAAAGTAGCAGTGACCATCTTGGGGAGAACACCTGTACGATGAAACTCATTCAAAGCCTTCAAAACATCTTCCTTCACGATGTCCCAATGTCTCTTAAATAAAATCATTGGAAATCCATCTGGTCCTGGTGCTTTATCTCCCGAGAACTTCTTTACTACATTCCAAACCTCTCCTTCTGAGAAAGGCTGCACAAGACTATCATGAGCATGTGATGGCAGAGAAGGGAAAGCCAACAATGAAGGAAAAGGCCTCTCACGTATGTCTTCAGAAAAAGAATTTTTGAAATGAGCCACAATAGCATTGGCAACTTCTTCTTGGCCCACACATATGGACCCATTTACCATAATGTTATCAACAAAATTTCTTCTTCTATTCTGGTTAGCCACTCGATGAAAAAATGCGGTATTCTGGTCACCCCACTTCAACCAAGTTTCTCTAGATTTCTGTCTCCAAGACATTTCTTCTCTCTTCCACAATCTATCCAAATGACATTTCAAAAGAGCTCGTTGAGTCCTTTCTTCCTCACCCATCCGTCCACTTTCTTCTAATGCATCCAACACAGAAACCAATTCCAATGTCAATCTGATCTCCTCATCCACCCGTTTAAAAACTTCTTTATTCCACACTTTTAAAGAAGCTTTCTATTGTTTCAACTTCTTTGCACATAGAAAGAAATATCCATACCCTGTAATGGCTGACTCCCACCACAGTTTGAGTTTATTGGCAAAATCCTCATGATCAAACCACATCGTCTCAAATCGCCAAGGACGTAGCAGAATCCTTTCATCACCACACGACACCAATAAAGGACAATGATCCGAGCATACACGGGTGAGAGCCCTCAACTTACATTCAGGAAAAGATTGATCCCATTGTGTCGAAATAAGTGCACGATCCAATCGTGACAAAGAAGGCACCTCCCTGAAGTTAGACCATGTAAATCGAGCTCCCAACAGAGGCAAGTCTATCAACTCACGATCATTGATAAAATCATTAAAAAGATTCATCTCTGCCACACTCCTAGCTTCCCCAACCACTTCATCTTGAGAACGAACCACATTAAAATCACCAACAATACAAGAAGGAAAATTCCACCAATTCAAACAGGCATTTAATTCAGCAAAGAATGCTAGTCGCTCATTTGCAGCACAAGGACCGTACACATTAATGAGAAGCCAAGTAATATTGGTTGCCCTATGTCTCAACACCACCACCACACAATACAATCCAATCCACTCCCCCTGAAGTTCAAAATCATCCTTATCCCAAGCAACAAGAAGACCCCCTGACAAGCCGACCGATGGTTTTTCCACCCACTCTAAATTACGGTTATTGCACACAAAAGAAACCATAATATCATCCCATTCTTCAACTTTTGTTTCCTGTAGGCACACAACATTTGGTTTATGCATGTCCAACAATTCTCTAATCCTATACTGCTTATCCGAATCCCGCACACCTCTAACATTCCAAGATACCAATCTAAGCATCATGACGAAAGCGAAGAGGTGGTACAGACCTTGATCTTCTTCTTTGGCCACGTGGATACACAATGGTCCCCTCGACCTCAATCCGACGAAGTCCCATATCTTGCGGGGTACGGGGTTGCACGGCCCTTCTCTTGGATAGTGTTTCAGCTATTGTACTCTTCACAATCGCATTTGCCTCTTCTATCGACTCGCCGCTTTTTAATCCTAGTTGCTCACTATAGTTAAACATGGTGTATTGGGCAAAATGTGCTTGTCCTCGAGTTTAATTGATGTTGCAAGTTGTGTAATCCGTTCTCATCATCATCATGTAATTGATTATCTAGTAAGCGTGGGTAAGTAGAATACATGGATCTTACCAATAATTCGAGTTATTGAGCCCAATTGATTTATGACATGGTATTAGAGGCTTCTGTATCGTCTGAGAGGTATCTTCTATTCGAATCCTGATAATCCTGGTAACCACATGAGGCATGTCTGATACTTGTGCGAACTTCAAGCTAATACCCGTGAACACGTAACAATTACCTCCTTGCAATAATTGTCTCGTCAACAAAAAGCACAACCTATACTCTTATTCTTATAATACTCGTCCCTCATGCATCTTGTACTTTAAGTTTCGGGGTCCTTCTCCTTGTTCTTATATTAATAATTTCTCTTATTTCCTTATAATTGTCAACCATTTTACTAGATATTTTTTTTATTCTTCCACTTCATCGAATATCTTCTATGTTCTAGGATTTTCAAAAATTCCAACTCAAGGTGGATGGTACCTTCTCTTAGATTTGAATGACATTTCCCATCTTTAAACTCATCCTCTCACTCCCAAAGACAATGCCCTAAAAAAACTAAAAAACATCGCCACATTGTTGAAACGGGTCTCGTTCTTCTTCATCAAGTCTCTTCCTCCAGATCCTACTCCTTTCTCCACAACCGTATTCCACTATTCCTCGTCAATTGTCTAACCTCTCACAACTTGCTGGTGGGAAGAATCCTTTTCCCCGCCTTCTCTTTAATGAATTTCCTAACTGTACCAAACTTTGTGTGTATATATATGATGACTGATTTTTTTTTTTTTTATAAGGGTGATCTGAATATTACCAAAGGCAAGAACAAAACAAAAGAGTTCATGCTACAGGGTTGCACGAGATGTGCGAAGCAAACCTAGGCCAAACCAGGAAACTAGGCCCGCCAGAAGGCCCCTGTTTCCTTTAAGGCCAACAAATCAAAAAGCAAACAAAACAGAAGCAGGTCAGAGGAAAAACAGCGAAAAGGAAATCTCAAAAAACAAGAACAGAGAAAAAGAGGAACAAAACAGAGGCTCCCATCCGAGTCCTGGAAGACAAAACAGAGACAAGAACAAGACAGCAACGAGGGCATCCTACAGCTCCGCCCGCGAAGTGGAAATCCAGCTTAAGCCTTGTTCCCTACTTATTTTACCATGAGCAACCATCCACTCTGCAATCGATCTCACCGTCTTCTGCAAAACCACTGAAGAGCTGCTGCCATCATCCCTGAAAATACGCCTATTTCTCTCTAGCCATATATGCCAGCAGACAGCGTGGAGAAAGCAATAGCTAAACCAATCACCTAAGGAGCTCGGCTGATCAGCGTTCCATCTGCGAATGACTTCCAAGATGTCCCCTTGAGGCATGTACAATGATCGGCTGATCCTCCTTCCACCAGCCCACAGCTCGTGCCCGAAAACACATATAGTGAAAATGTGGTCTACTGACTCCTCTTCTTTATAGCACAAACTGCACCTGTTCGCCAAATGAACCCCCCTTCTTTGGATTGAATCGACCGTCATGATCCTCTTGTGAGCAACCGTCCACACAAAAGCATTAATCTTTGAAGGGATTAGCTTTCTCCACACAGAATCGCTAGGGAAATTATCCACCCCCTGGAAGAGACCCTCAAGCAAAAACCTGTACATGGAACTCACAGAAAAAGTAGAATTGGGATTTGGAGTCCAAACTAGTTTGCTTGGACCACACACCACTTTAAGTAAATCAACATTATTCAAAAGGAACATAAGACTCTCCCTCTCTCTTTCCGCACCCCCTCTCAATCTGTTATTCAAAACAATATCCCAAACCATACTCTCACCTGTCTGTTTGATTGTCTCCGAGATCCAGGCGTCGGGCCTAGCAGCGGCAGCGGCGACTCCCTCGAGATGGAAATCATTCTTACAAAAGTACATTCTGGATATCTTACTTGCGACTCCCTCGAGATGGAAATCATTCTTACAGAATGCTCTGATATCGCATAAAGAACCAGTTAGTTCAAATAACTTGAGTTACATAATACTACATATAATGGTACTCATAATACTACTCGTACTACCCATATTCTAATAATTATCACTGCGTTAGATCGCCCTCAAGTTATATTCTCTGCCTACACAAGTAGATTTTGAATATCTTACAACACTTCAATTTGGCAGGCTCGAATCCACACTCTCTTACAACACTTTGATTCGGCAGAGACTCGAATCCACATTCGCCGTTCAAGATGCATAATTGGATCCCCTTGAAACAAACTCCCGTCCCACCATTTCTTTCCGCCACCATTATCGGTATTGGTTCCGATAGGCTCCTTGATAAACCAAAGCTTTGCCTTGTCGTCTTTTGGTAAACTAATAATTCGAAAACCAATCATCAAGTTAATACGATTAAGTCAGTCTCCGTCGTTTTCTATTCTACCCTTAGAGTGCAATTGCATAAACGTAAATCTGTCTATAAGAATAGGAAAATACAAATTATAGACAATAACTATAAACTTACGTTCAAACTCATACTAGATAGATAGAGACTACATATATGCGGAGAGAGCCGACCGCAAATAAAAATACCTGGCAATCGGGTCGGGTCGGGTCGGGTCGGGTAATTTCGGGTTGGGGATTTCGGTTACGGGTCGGGTCATGTTTGGTTGGCTTATTTCGGGTCAAATATTGACCCAACCTATTCGGTTTCGGATCGGGTTCCAGGTCGTTTCGGGTTATGAGCGCTCTCAGAAACAATATAAAAAATGCTTCGTATTTTCTCAAAGAACACAAAGTTTCACATATGCATGACAATAGTTTACCTAACACATGTCAATTAACATATTCTCAAATTCTCCCATGCTAATGAAATGAAATACAAATTGCGCAAATCGTCAAAAAACAATCACAATAGTAATACTACTAGAAGAAACGCATGGTATTTTATTATCCTTAAACTCCAAACATGTCATTTAAATCCTTGTATTTTTTTTAAACATCCCACCAATTTATGAGTGATTTTATCATTTTGGGAGTGATATATAAAATAGAACGGGTCTAACGGGTCGACCTGCTAACCCACCCAACCCGACCCAAAAAATCACTGGTTTTCGGGTTCGGGTCATTCGAATTTCGGATTATAAAAATTTCTACTTTTCGAGCGGTTTCAGGTCGGGTTGTAAATTACCCTCTTAGAATTCCTACTATATATACCCACACACACGACGAGAGAGTAATTCACAAATACAAATAAAAGTTGGAGCTTACTCAAACACTAAGGGAAAATAATGAAGAGGTTTTCCTTTTCCCACGGAACGGTGTTGACGATTATTCTCGTTTTGCCGGCGGCGATATTGTTCGGTTCTGATATTGCGGCAGCTTCCGCCGGTGATCCCACCGATGGTTTCACGGAGGTGCCGTTGAAGCCGTCCAACATTGCCCTCCAGAAACCATACGACGTCCCTCTCGACCAGCGCTACAGCTTCATCGACGGCGTTCACCGGATGTGGGTCTACTCCGACGACAAGCCTTTCAGTCGCCACAGCGACACCCAGCCTCGTACTGAAATCCGCATCGCTGTAAGTTATCAACATCCTTTTTTTTTTTGCACCAAAACGGAAGTACCTTTCTGTGACGAAGCAAAAGTTCGTCACCAAAACAGGCAGACGTGTTTGGCCCGACTTCAGCTTTACAATATAATAATAATTCTAAAAATTCAGGTCAAATATGTCATACCTGGTGATAAAAAAAGGTGGTTTTTAGGGGGTTCTAGTGCACTATGTATACTAATTTAATTTACCCGAACAAAATAATGTGTGATGAATATTCTTATAGATAGTACCATACTCAAAATACACATTAGGGGTGGCTATACGGTCCGGTCCGGTTAAATTGGTTTAAATTGATCCGGTACTAGTCCGGTTTTTCGAAAATATAAGGACCAAAGATTGGATTGGATACAGTCTGGTCTTGACCCGGTCCGGTCCCAATTTGGTCTTGATTTTATATTTGAGCTTGTGGGGATTTGAGTGGCCTAAGGCCTGAAAGTATGAGGAGTTGGTTAAGTTTTGTACTAAATGCAAAGGTTTGTGACCGTGTTTATGCAAATTACCCTTAAGTTTTGGGTGTTGAGCTCTCTTATCCGGTCTTTATCCAGTTTTCAATCCGGTCCCGACAGTTTTTTACCTCAAATCTAAGCCCAGAGATTGGATTGAATTGCTTACTATCCGGTCTCGGTCCGGATTATACGGTCCAATTTCGGATAAAACCAAAAAACCCGGACCAAATAGCCGGTACTAATACCTAGTTTTATCCAATTTCATGTATTTTAGATCATATACATGTCAGACAATACTTAAATTTTGTATTATCAATTTTGGGTAATTTAATTTAACTTCAGGGTCTGGACTACTCGTCGGGAGTGTGGCAATTCGAAGGCCACGGTTACGTCCCCAAAGGAACCTCCGGAGCCACCGTGGCTCAGATTCACGGCGCGAGCCACGGCGCCACCACGTTGATTCTGAGGATCTACGAGCCGGGAGAGATGAGGTACTACGACACCCTCCACGTGGCTGGCGACCTCTACGACACGTGGTTCCGGCTGAACATCGTCCACGACGTTGACGGCGGCATGGTGACGGTGTTCTTGAACGGCGAGCAGAAGTTCCAGCACCACGACGAAGGCCCCGGTGATTTGTACTTCAAGTGTGGAGTTTATGCTGCTCCTGCTGACATCAGCCATTACATGGAGTCCAGGTGGAAAAACATCAAGATTTACAGAAAATAGTAGAAGAACACGTGGACGTTGGAAAATCTTCATATTATCCTTGAGTCAACTTTGATCAGCAGACTCCGACATTACAATTTAGTATATGCATTGAATAGAAAAAAAAAAACAAAGGACTAAAGCAATTTAATATATAGTCAAATCTTTTATTTTCGACAAAATAATAGTTAAATCTAAAGTGAAAACAATCATAACAACTTCTCTTCTCCTTAGGGATGGCAATGAGTCGGGTCGGGTCGGGTCGGGTCGGGGACGGATAGTGCATATCCGTTACCCTACCCAAAGTAGTTCGGGTTTTACCCATACCCATACTCACATAAAAAATGGGTAGAAAATCAAAACCATGCCCATACCCGTTCGGGTTTCGGGTATCCACGGTTATCCATGGGTAATAGTTTCTCTTTATAACTTCAACCAATATTGTTATTATTCACATGTATTCTCACATTACCTAAGACAAAAAGTATGACAATAATTCACTAGAATGAAGAAAATTCATTAAAACAACACAATTTCATGAACAAGATTATATTTATATGCTAAATATAAAATATATTAGAGAGAAATAATGATTATTTCTAGACAAAATACATATGCATGTGTATATCGGGCGGGTTCGGGTTGGATAGTGAGAAAACCATGCCCACCCATTACCCGCAATATTCGGGTTCGGGTTTTACCCGTACCCGCTAAAAGTCCTTCGGCTTCGGGTTTTACCCTACCCTAAAAGGTCGGATTCGGGCGGATATCCACGGTTACGGATATTTTTGCCATCCCTACTTCTCCTATAAACAAAGATGTTTCACCTTTTACAACTTCTTACGGGTTCTTCTCCTGATTTAAGTCTACTTAGAATGTTTGATTGCTTAGCGCTTATGCTAGCATCCTCAGTCATATAATCGTCATTAGTGTGAATCACGTGCAATTTCTTGCTTTTTTTTCTTGGATATCCATTTGATATCCAAGGATATAAACTCATTAATCTTGACACAATATAGTCCTCTTGTGTCTAGAGATGTTCATATTCTTCCACAAAAATATTTTTTGTCGATCACCCTTCCTCTAGTCCAATAATTATCCCTTCCTTAATTCCATCTTCCATTTCACCCTTCCTCTACCGCCAACCGCCCGACGGAGCCCATCGGTTATTCGACAACCAACCGGTCGGTTACCGGTTAGTTGCTCGGTTAGCCGAGTTAACCGGTAGTCGTAGTTGGCTCGGCGCTGGAACAGCGGCGGAGGAACGGCAGGTTTTGGCTGCTCGTGGACTGGTCGGGATCTCGGGGAGGAGATGGCGGAGCAGTAGGGGCGCCGGCCGCGAGTCGTGGAGGGAGATGGCGGAGCAGTAGCGCCAGGCGCTGGTCGTGGAGGGAGATGGCGGAGCAGCAGGCGCCAGGCGCGGGTCGGGGAGATTCTTTGGTGAGGAAATTGGAGATTAGGAGGGAGGAGGAGTTGCGGAGGCAGAACAGGCCGTTGGATGAGGAGAGAAGCGTGGCGGCGGCGCGTGGGGAGGTGGAGGCCTTGCAGAGGGAGGGGTGGATGGAGCGCCAGCTGGCGGTGGCGGCGTCGTAAACGCCGACTCTGGAAGGGAAGTGAGGGTGGGAGAGTAAGAGGAGGGAAGGTGGGGAAGATGAGGGAATCGAAGCGCTTGCAAGTGGGCCGGTTAACCGACGGTTATCTCCCTCGGTTAGTCGGTTAACCGCCACATCTAACTCCTCTACCGAACACCGCCCGAGAACATAATTTTTGGTTAGTCGGTTAACTGGTAACCGTCGGTTATCGGTTTAACCGGTCGGTTAACCGACAACCGATAACCGAACCTCCAGCCCTACTTGTAGCCCATAGGGATGGCAAAAATATCCGTAACCGTGGATATCCGCCCGAATTCGGCCTAATCGGGTAGGGTAAAATCCGAACCCGAAGGACATTTAGTGGGTACGGGTAAAACCCGAACCCGAATATTGCGGGTAATGGGTGGGCATGAATTTCTCACTATCCGACCCGAACCCGCCCGATTATACACATGCATATGTATTTTGTCTAGAAATAATCATTATTTTTCTCTAACATATTTTATATTTAGCATATAAATATAACATTTTTATGAAATTGTGTTGTTTTAGTTAATTTTCTTCATTCTAGTATATTCTTGTCGTACTTTTTCTCTTACTTAATATAAGAATACGTGTGAATGTTAACATATTGGTTGGAGTTATGAAGAGAAATTAATATCCATGGATAACCGTGGATACCCGAAACCCGAATGGTTATGGGCATGGTTTTGATTTTCTACCCGTTTCACATGTGGGTATGGGTATGGGTAAAACCCGAAGTACTTTGGGTAGGGTAACAGATATGCACTATCCACTCCCGACCCGACCCATTGCCATCCCTAGTAGCCCACCTAGTAGAGGTGGCATTCTCAATTCAATCCACCAATCCATTAAAAATATCCATCTAGTCCAATCCATTTGATCCAAATCCAATTGGATTGATGGATTCATGTAGGGGTGGCTATACGGTCCGGTCCGGTTAAATTGGCCCAAATTGATCCGGTCCAGTCCGGTTTTTTTGAAAATATAAGGACCAAAGATTGGATTGGATACAGTCCGGTCTTGATCCGGTCCGGTCTTAACCCGGTCCGGTCCCAATTCGGTCTTGATTTTATATTGAGATTGTGGGAATTTGAGTGGCCTAAGGCCTAAAAGGGTGAGGAGTTGGTTAAGTTTTGTACTAAGTGCAAAGGTTTGTGGCCATTTATGCAAATTACCCTTAAGTTTTGGGTGTTAAGCTCTCTTATCCGGTCTTTATCCGGTTTTTTACCTCAAATCTAAGCCCAAAGATTGGATTGGATTGTTTACTATCCGGTCCCGGTCCCGGTCCCGGTCCGGTCTCGGTCCGGGTTATACGGTCCGGTTTCCGGTTTTTTATCCGGTCCCGGTCCAAATAGCCAGCCCTAGATTCATGGAATGATCCATGGATCCAAAATGATAAATTACGGTTTGGTACCTATATTTTTTATATTTTACATTTTGGTACCCAAAATTTAATTTTTTAATACTTAAAATATAATTGGAAAATTACATTTTGGTACCTAACTTTTTTCATTACAACATGTTAGTACCTAAACTTTTCACATTTTACATATTGGTCTTTGGTTGAGGATGTCATCCACCAATCCACTTGATCCAATCCAATCCATCAATCCATGGATCAATCCATTTGCCACCTCTACCACCTAGACATCGAAAGAAACCTGCCAGATTACAGGACGGAACTTTTATATTATCGGGGGGAAAAAAATCATCAGAACGGAACTTTTATCATAGCTAAAAACTAGTGTTAGCAACATACTATTGGGTTACGAGATAGAGCCCCTATGTCACACAATATATATATATATATATATATCAATATATATATATATATATATATATATATATATATATATATATATATATATATATATATATCACGTTTTGCAAATAAAGGCAAAGAGTTCCCCTTCACAAGATCAACTTACTCTCAGCCTCCTTGCAAGCAAGTCCAGCCAACAACAGCTATCTATACTAAAAACACAACTAACCCTTGGATCTTTGGAAGATCTAAAACAGAACTCATATGTGTGCACAAATTACAGAATCTCCTCCCCTCCCTATTTTCTACTTTCCTTTACTAGTGGTGAAATATACCCTTTGAACTTATCGAACTATGCTGTAGAACAGAATAATGTACCCCCAGTTACCGAGGCAAAGTGAAACATTGAGATGTCATCCTTCCCCATGTTCTGGACGGACGTAATTACGCCGCCGGACAGAATTATATACCGTCTAACTCCACTATATATATACATACACATCAAATTATTAAATCATATGACTGTAACAATTATTACAATGATGAGAATGAGAAAAGCTTGTCCATCAACGTGCGTGGAGGAACAGCTTCTTGTTATGGTTAATCGTCTAGTGATAACAGGAGCCATTGTTATCCTCTTCGGAGTGGCGGCTGCAGCCGATCCGACGGATGGGTTCCACGAGGTGCAGCTGAGCGAGCACAACTTCGACATTCAGAGACCGTACGACCTTCGGCTGAGCCAGCGGTACAGCTACAAAAATGGAGTCCGTCGGCTTTGGGTCTACGGCAGCGACAAGTCTCATAGCCAAGGCAGCCACACCCCGCCCCGAACCGAAATCAGGATCAGAGTTAGTTCGTCTCTTGTTTTTTTGTTATGGTTAAATTAGAACGTTTTTCGATTTATCTGTTCAAGAAGGCGTAATCACGCGTATAGTACGTCTGGGCGCGCCTAGGTGATAGGTAATGACAAAACAACTCGCCTTTTGACTCTGAATTTACAAATTTATTTGTAGAGCAGCAACAATCCACCAACTTTATAATCCCCCCCCAAAAAAACTCCAATCGGTCCGATCGATTCTCTGTCCTGTTTGTAGATTCGTTCGACTACAGATCACCCACAAGTAGGGGTGGCTATACGATCCGGTCCGGTTAAATTGGACCAAATTGATCCGGTCCCAGTCCGGTCTTTTCGGAAATATAAGGACCAAAGATTGGATTGGATACAATCCGATCTTGATCCGGTCCGGTCTTGACCCGGTCCGGTCCTAATTTGATCTTGATTTTAGGTGTTGGGGGTCTCTTATCCGGTCTTTATCCAGTTTTTTACCTCAAATCTATGCCCGAATATGAGATTGAATTGTTTGCTATCCGGTCCCGATCCGGGTTATACGGCCCGGTTTCGGGTAAAACCAAACAGTGCCAGACCAAATAGCCAGCCCTACCCACAAGGCCAAAATCTATGACGCGAACGCGATCTTTAGTTCTTCTCCCAGCCCTGCGCGCGGTCTGCCCGACGGCTCTCTGCACTGCTCTTCATCGTCGCGGACTACAAAGCAGCCAAAACCCACAAGTGATCTATGAAATCCCAATTTCAGGAGATCGTGATATATTTTACTTGTTGACGAGGGTTAATTAAGTTATTAATCCTTTGAAATCGAACTAAATAAAAAAATGCTGTAAATTTTCGTTTCCACTATAAATCATTATTTTTTATTAAACGCCTAGGCGCGTGACTTACGCTTGCTAGAGGTAGCGTGCCCAGCGGCGGATCTAGTGGGGTCGCCCCAACCCTCCCCTAAATCCCTATCTAGTTTGGCCCTTGTAAATTTATGATTTTAGGTATATGCTCATCGGGTTACGGCCCAGTCTTCTCTCCCTCTTTTCATATGTAGCTTACTGCTCTAGCCTATTCTGAATCAGGATTTTTCATCAACCTTGAATCTAAATGAATCTATAATACTTTTTGCAGGGACTTGATTATCATTCGGGAGTATGGCAAATGGAAGGCCACGTGTACGTCCCCAAGGGCACATCGGGAGCCAGCCTGATGCAGGTCCACGGCGGCAACGGAGTGTCCAGCACGGTCATGGTGAGGATCTACTCCGGCGACCTGAGGTACTACTCCGGCGACGTGATCGCGCGTGGGATGTACGACAAGTGGTTCCGGCTCAACATGATCCACGACGCCGACGCCGGAAAGGTGGCCGTGTACGTCGACGGCAAGGAGGTTTTCCGGCACGATGCAAGAGGGAAAGCGCGGGCTTTTTACTTCAAATGTGGAGTCTATGCTGCGCCGAAAGATCATAGCCGTTACATGGAGTCTAGGTGGAAGAATATCAAAATGTACAAGAAGAAATGAAATGAGAGAAAATTTTTTGGGCTTTATAACTAGTTGGGTTGGAGTTGGGCTCTTCCTTTTGATCTTTGGGCTTTTGAATGCTTGGTTGTTCATTTAGCTTCTATATTGCTTGTTTTAATTTTGTTCTTTCTTTTTACTTTCTCCTTTTGGGGTTTTGCTATATGAATATCCAATGGGTTTTTTGCCCATTACTTGAGATGAAACTTGATGCACAAGATTTTGCTCTGTTTCTATTGTCATCTTTGATCGTTTTGTTATTGATTGATTTGGAGTGCAATTTTGAAGAAATGTTCCTATACTTTGCGGTTAATCGGATTAGAAATTTCAGATAATCGATCACCTATAGTTTTATATTGTTTCTACATATATTCTATTTTAAATATATCTGACCATTTTGGTAATCCTTTTCCAATAAATCCATCTTATTAGTCAGATTTAACATGCATGAAGTGCAGTTTGCATTAAACGGAAAGTACTTTCGATGCAATGACAATAACTTTGGAAAGTATACCAAAGAAGCCCTTTGAATTAATACGATTGAATTTTGGACTTGTCGTCGGAAACTATAAATTTATTTTTGTATTTCATTGAATATGATACGAAATGTTCACGAAGGTACTTCTATCCACATTTATTTATTTATGACCATGTCGTAATGTTCCTTGGTTCATTGATCACCCTGCGCTCGAGAGTAATTTAGTAACTATAGATAAACATCTTTTTCACGATTTAACGCATTATTAAAATTGATGACTTTATCCATAAATAATATAATCTGGGACTCTACTTTAATCAATTTATCGTCCACAATTCTCAGAATGAAAACGACAACCACCGTGAGAAGAATTTCTAGCTCAAAGAGAGAGTTAGAACAAAAACTTCACATAGTAATAATAAAATTACATTCAACCCTTTAGTGAATTCGAATAAATCGTCATTAATCAAATCTCAGATTGGCGACCACAAATATGGATACATTGTTTCGAAACTATCCAATCGTCTACGGGAATTAAAACAGACAAAATAAATTTTGTGCGTATAGACTTACTATATATACTCACATAGTTACCAAGAGAATTTCACACAAAAGAAGAAGAAGAAGAAAAATGAAGGTTTTGATGCTTCTCCTTCTGGTGATCACTATTCATGCAGCTGCCGGCGGCGATCCCACCGATGGTTTCACGGAGGTGCCGTTGAACCCCTCCAACATCGTCCTCCAGAAACCGTTCGACGTCCCTCTCGACCAGCGCTACAGCTTCATCGACGGCGTTCACCGGATGTGGGTCTACTCCGACGACAAGCCGTACAGTCCCGACAGCGACACCCAGCCTCGTACCGAAATCCGCATCGCTGTAAGTGAATCGAGGAAATTTTACAATACTTTATCGTATCAGCGTTTTAACTTTTATAACAAAAAAAAAAGTTATTTATCGTACAAACTAAACTTCTACTTTTAATAAACACACTTTTTTGACATATTGACTCTGCCTGTGTGTAGGGGTTGGACTACTCGTCGGGAGTGTGGCAATTCGAAGGTCACGGTTACGTTCCTAGAGGAACGTCTGGAGCCACCGTGGCTCAGATTCACGGTGCGAGCCACGGTGAGACGACGTTGATTCTGAGGATCTACGAGCCGGGGGAGATGAGGTACTACGATACCCTCCACGTGGCTGGCGACCTGTACGACACGTGGTTCCGGCTGAACATTGTTCATGACGTGGACGGCGGCATGGTGACGGTGTTCTTGAACGGCGAGCAGAAGTTCCAGCACCACGATGAGGGTCCCGGCGATTTGTACTTCAAGTGTGGAGTTTATGCAGCTCCTGCTGACATCAGCCATTACATGGAGTCCAGGTGGAAAGACATCAAGATTTACAGAAAATAGTAGAAGAACACGTGGAGGGTTGGTACCTTTATATTGTCGACTACTCGACTATATGGTTGGCATATTTTATTCATTATCTGTAATTTTATTTTCACATTGATCTTTAATACTATTTGTGGTATATATAATGTGTATCTTTTCTTATTCATGGTGGTATTCTTATGTAAATTACTTGTATATAGTAAGTTACAATGTCTTCTAAAAAAAGTCTCCTACCCACACTTATTCTGGTGGGTGATGGATGGATTGCAGGTCATCCAAATGTTTTGAGACTATCTTACGGATTTGCGACTAATTATTAATATTAGTCTACTTACTTACTAACTAGTTAGAAAATTACTTTTGCTAGTTAACTCACAAGGCCACAACCCAACCACATCCATCCAATCCAATCCGAAGAAAAATGTGGGTGGATACGGGTCACAATTACACTGATCGACTAGCTAATAAACGGATGTGTCAGTTTGAAACCAAGACCAACCCGAACCCACTGCACATTACCCATCCCTAGTTGAGTGTTATGTATTTTTATAAACAGCCTGCTAACTCCTGGAGTTTAACTGTTTAATACTTTTAGTAACTTTCCCTCGTTTCTATGTTAACATTGTTTTCAAATAAATCTATCTTTTAGTCAGATTTAGCAAGAGCTCAATTTGAATCAGTGTAAGAATAAGTAATCCTAATTTTTTTTCTATAATTAAGTACTCCTAAAATTAATTAGACAGCTGATCATAATATTCATCAAAATATTAAATAAAATCACGGACTTGGGAATTAGCGACGGCATTGATCCCACCAAATTAATTGTCGCGTGGACGTACTCATTAAAGTCCCTTCATTAATTATAAAAAAAAGTCCCTTCATTCGGTATAAACTCTCATTATAGGTTGGACAAGAAAATCATTTGTGACAAAAAAAAATGAAGTTCTCCTATTTTCACTCCATTCATGTTCCTCTCTTTCTGGTAATCTCCTACTACTGTAATAATTATGCAGCCGCCGATCCCACCGTTGGATTCACGGAGGTCTCGTTGAATCAGTCCAACTTCGTCGTCCAACGACCGTACGACGTTCCTCTGAGTCAACGCTATAGCTTCGCCGGCGGCACTCACCGCCTGTGGGTCTATGCCGACGACAAGCCACATGATCGGAAAAGCCATACCCAACCACGTACAGAAATCCGCATCACTGTAATAAATCTTCTATACCTGAAATTCCAACTATTTCCGTCTGTAATAATAAAATTTGCAGGGAAGTGTAAGCTTGTTGTCAATATTAATTCTGGTCACAAAAAACCCGCCGCCTTTCGAATTGGGTGGCCATTTGTAGTACGTACGGAAGCACTATTGGTCACCAAAAATTAAATCGGTAAATTGCTAGTTTGGTCGCTAGAATTACTATAAAAGTTCATGTTTGTCACTAATATACAGGAGATACTATATGTTGCCAACGTTTTACTTTTTTTTGCTGACAATTAGGCGGCAAATAGTAACTGTCATTCATTAAAAAGGATAAATAGAAAGGAAGCTTGCGGCAAATAATCTTTCGCAATATATATGATGACGTATCAAAAAAGTATGCATGATTTGCTGGTGAACTCGCAAAAATGAGTATATACTATATATACATCCAATCCTAAAACTAGTTTTTAAAAAATTGAATTTTGAATTTTAATTTGTATCATTAATTATCTAATATGATGTAACATAGGGTCACAACTCACTAATAATTCATGTTACTATCAAAATCCAAAATTCAAAACTCTAATCCTAATTCTGTAAACCCTAAATCCTTCAGATAAAAGTAAAGTTTGAATGATTTTTCCTGCAAATTCATGTAATTTTTTTTTTGTCCATCATATAAAAAATGACGATCGACATCGTTTTGACTCCAATCGTCTACTCAGAATAACGATTATGAAACGGATGTATAGTATTCACTACAACTTTGTGGCAGGGACTAGACTATTCGTCGGGAGTATGGCAGTTCGAAGCGTACGGTTTCGTTCCCAACGGAACTTCAGGAGCTACCGTCGCCCAAATTTTCGGTGGAAGCCACGGCGGTACCACCACCACTTTGATTCTAAGGATCTACGAGCCGGGAGAAATGAGATACTATAGCTACCTGCCGGCGGTAGCCGGCGGGTTGTACGACCGATGGTTCCGACTAAATATCGTTCATGATGTCGACGGCGGCATGGTGGCCGTGTTCTTAGACGGCGAGCTGAAGCTCCACCACCACGATCGAGGTTCCGGTCAATTTTACTTCAAGTGTGGCGTTTATGCGGCTGCTACTGATATAAGTTATTACATGGAGTCGAGGTGGAGAGACATCAAAATTTACAAAAAGTACTAGTGATGAGCTAAGCTCATGTAAGTGTAACAAGTGGGTAAGAAAATTGATTTACGGAAGGGGGTGATTTTTTTTAGGGGTGAAATTTTTTGAAGGAAAGTTCTTTGTCAATGAATAAAATGAGTGTCGAAAGTGAATTGTGAAAGTTATTGTTGTGGTTTTGAGTGAAAAGGTTGATTTTATCGTGGGAATAAAGAAGTGCTTGATTTGATGTATTTTGATATTGAATATGTTATTTATCTCGTAACACGAAATTCTTCCTACTTTACTCCTATTTTCTCGTGCGCGAGATTCGAATCCTTTCGGTAGTACCTAACCATTAAAAATAATCGGTAGGATATTTTATGTTGAAATCGTAGTTTAACTCATGGAACAAAATGATTGAAAAATCTTATCGGAGGTTGTATCGAAAAAGTCAGTGGTAGGATATTCTATTTTTGAAATCGTAGTTTAATCATGGTTCACCATTTCGTATCACTAAATACCGTCTGCCGATTTCACTTCGATAAAAGATTTTTCTTGTTGAACTGCCGAGACGATACTGGTTTTCAATCCTTGGTTAAATCAAACATGACGAGGGTTTGGCTCCTTGAAATTCCCGTCGAGTTGTACAGTCTTCATGACTCACGCAAACGAATGCTAAAAATGTCAAGAACCAGTTGATCCTAATAACTCGAGTTGTGGGAGAGGTTCATTTATGGATTATATACCATTTAGTAACACACATTAGCTTGAAGTTTGCACTGGTCCGGACATCGTGTGATAACAGAACATATGGGGGTCATCAGGATTCGTACATAAACCCTCTCGGTTACGAAATGCTCTAATACCGTGTTAAGAACCGGTTACTTCCAATAACTCAAATTGTTTGAATAGATTCCATTACATATCATATACTATTTACTTAAAAAAACCACAAAACTATCCATTCTCTACATAGAGGCAGCCGTCCACTATTGCACAAATTTGTTCATCATCCTTTGGCTAATTCCACTCCTATCTCTATAACTTCTAATTATAATGTCCGTTCACTTCCCAAAGAAAAAGTCCGTTCAGCTCCAAAACAGCTGCAAGAAACGACAAAGAAGTCCAATATCACAAAAGATGTGTATACATTTTCCGTTTGATCTCTTGGATCTCATCCTGATAAAATATTAAACTTCGGCTTATGATAATTTAATATCCTATGACTAAATCCGGTCACAGAAATGCTTAACCGTAAAATAACCTTTAATTATTACTTAATTGTGTTTGGGATAATAGACTATTTTTGCTCAACTTCAATGAAATCATCCTCAAATACACAGAGCTCGTAACCGTATGTACGTGTCCTCTAATAAACAATTTTGACCAACTTCGAGAATATCGTCGTCGATTCTCACAGTTCGTAATCGTATGTCATGTCCTCTAATACGAATGATACTAACAATAAATTGATTTGAATACTACGAACTACTTGTATCATTCCAGTCAATATTCATATGCCAAAAAAAAAACCCATTTTTAATCACCTTTATATGTGCTCTGCGTACCAAATTGAAAATCAACAACCACTATTATATATACATAGAACACGAGAGTTTCAACTTACACGTTACAACCACTCTGTAAAATGAAGCTTTCCTATGTTCACTCCATCATGTTAACTATGCCTCTCCTTCTGGCAATCTACTGCTGCAATGCAGCCGGCGATCCCACCCTTGGCTTCACAGAAATCCCACTGAACAAATCAAACTTCTTTCTCCAGAAACCATACGACGTCCCACTCGACCAGCGCTACAGCTTCATCGACGGCGTCCACCGGATGTGGGTTTACGCCGACGACAAGCCTCACTTTCGCGGCAGCATTTCCAAGCCCCGCACCGAGATCCTCATCGCTGTATGTAGTAATCGTCTACGTCTCAGTCTTTTCTTTTTCGATAACTCAAGTTACTGGAATAAATTATTGGTTATATTTGTAATCACTAAAGGTCGCCACTTACAATACCAGGTTCCGATACCATGTTGAATCTTGGAGAGAAAACAGGTCTACTTTTCTTACTAATGAGAGGGTGAGAAATTACACTGTCCATATTTACAATATATACGCGCGCGGTATAACAAACCAACAAAATGCAGAAGTAAACAAACATTACAATATAGTCCCTAAACTAATTATTCTTTACTATCGAGTCCTCCAACAGAGAGTTTAGTTTTAGAGAGACAAGGAGAAATAATAATAAAAAAAATCTCATAAGTCGAATACAAAATATAGTTATCGAAATGCTTTTTGCACTAAGGCGAATCCAATATTTTAATCGCTTGGGATTAGTTACAACCTTGTTCGACCCATGTGACTCACCAACAGTTAAGAGTTTATGTAACGTATAATTACCGCACTAAATAAAGGATTTTTTTTTTATAGCTCGAATCTTCGTTAGGGTTTAGGGATGGTTGTAGCTTCTGCGTCCAATCAAAACTGGAGCTGAGAATATTTTTTTTCTGGTAGGGGTTGAACTACAAGTCGGGAGTGTGGCAGTTCGAAGGGTACGGTTTTGTACCCAACGGCACGTCGGGAGCCACCGTAGCTCAGATTCACGGCTCGGCCCACCGGAACACCACGATGATTCTGAGGGTCTACGCGCCGGGAGAAATGAGGTACTACAGCTATCTCCACGTGGCCGACGGGCTATACGACAGGTGGTTCCGGCTGAACATGATCCACGACGTCGACGGCGGCAAGGTGACCGTGTTCTTGGACGGCGAGCAGAAGTTTCAGTATCCCGACCATGGGCCCGGCAACATGTACTTCAAGTGCGGTGTTTATGCGGCTTCCGCTAATATTAGTTATTATATGGAGTCCATGTGGAGGAACATCAAAATTTATAGAAAGTAGCCAATTGAATAATTTTGTTAGAAATATGTTGTCTTTTTCTTTTATATTATAATAATAGTTTTTTGGGTTATAGGTATAATATGCCCCTCTACTATGACGTTTTATCAAACATGCCCATCTACTATTTTTTACATCAAACATGCCCCTGTACTTTGGAAAACTTATCAAACATGTCATTTTGTTAAAATTCCCATAAAAAAACCGTTAGCCAAGACCGAACTTTGATTTGGGCGACCCAAATTTTAAAAATATCCCTAATAATTTCACTTTAGAGTTTTTTGTTCTTTTATATAAGCCAAATAATTCTAATAATTTCACTTTGACGAGACCTAGAGAAATAAAACAAGGGTCAAAACTGACATTTCCCCTCTCATTTATCGATGACAGGTCGTCTAAATCTCGGTTCAACCATGATTGATGATTTTTTCAATGGAAATTTCAACTGAAGGGCATGTTTGATAGTTTTTCCAAATTACAGGGGCATGTTTGATGTAAAAAATAGTAGAGAGGGATGTTTGATAAAACGTCATAGTAGAGGGGCATATTATACCTATAACCCTAGTTTTTTTGTCTGTTGCGAAGCGGGGTAGAAAACTATTATTATATTTCGAATTTTATCCACTCATCGGTTGAAGTCAAATAATTCACCTAAATCGTGTTTGGATAAGATAATCTTATAGACTTTATGAAGTCTCGTGATCATTGTCGAATATTTATGCAATAAGTTTGTTTTATTGATACATAAGAAACAATTATTCTTTTGTAAGCTTTATCTAGTGTCTTAATTATTACAGACAATGTTCATTAAATTAATATATAAGAAACGACTATCAATCAATAAAGTATTTCTAATGTATTTGTAATTTACATAAGCATTATAGAATGATCTTGCATAAATCTTATATAATGTGAAACTTAATAATATAATTAAGTTAAGGAAAGTATCATATTTGATTAAATTATTATGTAAAAGTTACTAACTTTGGAGAACCTTTTGCGTCACGCAAAGTATCACATCTAGTTGAACGGTTATGTAAAATTTAATTCACTATCCATCATCTCCGGAAAATGCAAATTGATGAGATGGTTAAGATTTTAGTTAATAATAATAAAAAAAAAACTAAGTTATACAAGATACCACATTTGATTAAATTGTTGTGTAAAAATAACCGATCATACAGAATCTTTGTGTAATTTAAATCGTCGAAGACATCACCGATATTGAATGCTTAAAATCGAATGAGAGATCACAGGACAATGGGAACAAATCTGGAGACCACATAAAGCTCATCTTGAATACTTAATGGAGTTAGTCATCTCACCCTTCAGTACATAAGGCAAACGAAATTGGATACAATCGATTCCCTTGACGAAGACTGCAGCAAGCTCAGAACTACGTACTCGACGGATGTCACTCATAAGCACCAAAGAAGTCACACAATCTCGTAACCATTTTATCAATTCTCCCAATGAAATCAAATTTCTCAGGCAATGCTAATAAAAAAGGTCATTCCTATATGAACTAGAGAAGCATAATAGAGAAATAAATTTGAAGAACATAAGGAAAAAGATACTAGATCATTTTTTTTTAAAAAAATTTAGGGGAAAAAGAGTAACAAGACTTAACTAGAAAACACCAATTTAAAGAGGCCGCTGGCCACTATTCAGAATTCGTGCTTATTCCTTGGCTACTTCCACTTCAAATCCGGCCGGCCACTAATCTTAGCTTTAGCTTTTAGTAATTTAACATGTAAATCTAGCAGGTTGCGTCACCGTTCAAGTACTTAATTGTGTTGGGATTATTACACTATTATTTGTTAACTTTGAGGATATACATAGTTCAGTAGTGGTGCTAACTTGTTAGTTGTTTGTATTCATTCGTAGGGCTAGTGAACTAAAGATTCTCTAATATTATTAAAACATTTAATTGATTTTAAGAAGTCGAGGTTTCGAAAGAAAATCAATACACGAGGTTAAAGTTTGCACATGCCAATCATACATGTTTACTTAAATCAATGGTTTAATATTGAAGGTCGTGGAGATTCAAACACATAACCACTTAGTCGAAAACAGCTCTGATGTCATGTCGTCATAAACTGATTAATTTCAACCTTCGTGTAACAAACAAATGGTTCTTTAATTTATTTTATTTTATGTGCGGTGTTGCATAAAGCAAAGGGTCGAAAGTTAGGTACCGGTATTTGAAATATATCGAATACCGTACCGAATTTATCACTGTTTGGTATTAATGAGTACTGATTTATTTTAGGGAGTAATGGGGACCGAGATTCATTTTGGAGTATTATTGGGTATATATGCAATTACGTGATTGAGATCGGTATATACCAAAATACAACGACATTCATACTTAACACTTTTATACTGGGTTATCGATACTGTACTGATTTCCATCGTAATAAATAGCTTGTGGCTGGGGTCAGATAGATGAAATCATGAAGTTTGAAAGAGAAGAAGTCATTACTCATCACAATCATCGATATATAGACTACCAAGACAAAAACAAGAGAAGAGAAGAAGAAGAAGCAAAATGAAGCTTTCCTTTGTTCATTGCATCATAGTCACTATGCCTCTCCTTCTGGCATTAATCACCAGCTGCATTAATGCAGCCGGTGATGATGATCCCACCTTTGGCTTCACAGAAATTTCACTGAACCAATCCAACTTCGTCCTCCAGAAACCATACGACGTTCCTCTCGACCAGCGCTACAGCTTCATCGACGGCGTTCACCGGATGTGGGTTTACGCCGACGACAAGCCTCACGCTCGCGGCAGCAATACCCAGCCCCGCACCGAAATCCACATCGCGGTAAGTAATCGTCTATATATATATATATCTCGATCTCGCTATGACTTAAAAAAGACAGATTATCTGCCGTCGAGTGAAAGTCACAGTTTTACAGGGTTTTCTCAATCTCTATAATCTGTATCTGCTCATTAATAATGGAAGTTGGAACTGTCTTTATCATATTTGTGAATTAGCTAACACATATTGTGTAAGTGATCAACCATTCGGTCCGCTTTGGTTCGGTCCAAATGTCACTTCGGTTCGTTTTTCTTTCGGTATCTATTAAAATTCATGAGACCAAAACGACCGGACCAAATTATATTTTGATTGGATATGGTCCGGTCTAAATATCGATTTGCTCTGGTGTGGTCCGGTATGGACCAACCCATTACCCCCTTGTGATTTTTTGTTGGCAGGGGCTGGACTACTCGTCGGGAGTGTGGCAGTTCGAAGGCCACGGTTTCGTCCCCAACGGCACGTCGGGAGCCACGGTGGCTCAGATCCACGGCGCGGCCCACGGCAACACCACTTTGCTTCTGAGGGTCTACGCGCCGGGAGAAATGAGGTACTACAGCTCTCTCCACGTGGCAGACGGGCTTTACGACAGGTGGTTCCGGCTGAACATGATCCACGACGTCGACGGCGGCAAGGTGACCGTTTTCTTGGACGGCGAGCAGAAGTTCCAGTACCACGACCAAGGTCCCGGCGACTTGTATTTCAAATGTGGCGTTTATGGGGCTCCGGCTAATATTAGCTATTACATGGAGGCCAGGTGGCGAAACATCAGAATTTATAGAAAGTATTGAGTTGAATTGTTAAGTGGAGTATTATTTACCGAGCCAGGAATTGGACGGAAATTTGAGAGGATGTAAGAAAGTAGAGTGGTTATTTGGGTTTTTAGGTTTTATCTGAAATCGGACTGTATAATTTGAATCCAGATCGGATTGAGTTCGGATAGCAAATAATCCATTCCCGTCTTTCAGCTTAGATTTTTATGGTAAAAAATCGCTCGGGACCTGATCGGAAATCGGATAAAGACCGGATAAGAGAGTCCAATGCCCAAAATCTAACAAACTCCTCACCCTTTTAGGCCTCAGCCCACTAAAACTCTCATGAGCTCACTCTAAAATCAATACATTAATATTATTTTCGCTATATTTTGAACAAAAATAGAGTACTTCATAATGCATGTTTGTTATTATCATACCACTAGCATATCATGGTCGTGAAAGGACATGCTTACATAAACAAATACCACTTAGGCAGGATGACTATCACTTTGATGTTGCAATGTCAAAGTGCCATATTGCAACATCTGTGTCAAACATAGTTCATATTCAAAGAATACAAGTTAAAATTGCACACTAGCATGAAACATAACTGATTTCTTTTGCTCATGTTTGGTTTTATGTTTTGTGCTTGGTCTCTAAGCTTATTATTTATAAGATTTTATTAGGGTTAGTTCGTTCAGATAAGTACTATATACACTTTTCAATCTCTCTATAATCTATATATGTTCAAGTAGTAAAACTGGTTATCTCCTGCTGTAAACTAGCTAGCACATATTGTATTAGTGAACCACCTAAATTTGTATGTTTTTTTTTTTTTTTTTACTTTCTTGTACTGTTAATTTCCCGATTTGTTCTAAATGGATGCATGATTGGATTATATTGTTATCTTGCTAGTGCATGTTGACGACATAATACTAGCAAAGATCCAAATTGATGACCTAAAACAAATCAAGATGTATCTGATCACCAACTAGAGGCCGCCGGCCACTACTTCACAATTTGTGCTTATTCCTTGGCTACTTCTACTGTTATTCCTAACTCCTCTATAATCCTGTGTTTGATTATTCTCTTCTTTTATATTTGGTGACGAAACACAAAAGCTTGTATTGTTGATCCGTTTGATCTCTTGGCTGCACTCATATGCTGATAAAATATTAATCTAGCATGGCTTCTAATAATTTAGCATCCTATGCAAGGTCTAATTTGTAATTATAGGGTGTCGGAGGTGCTAACTTTTTAGTTGGTGGTATTCAAACGTTTGAGGCTAGAAAACTCAAGATTCCCTAATGGTTGGTTGGTTTCTCGATACATTGAAATATATTATATTGTAGGTGGCTTTTATCGTACTCAAGGTAAATTTTGAGATATTGTAAACTCTTAGAAAGAAAATGTTATGTAGATATCGAATTAACTGGATTTTGGGAAATGATGCTATACTTTAACCCATAATTGACTAGTAGATTCAGTAGATCAGGCAGATTAAGCCATTATTAAGTCGTCTAAGTAAAGTCCATCATGTTTAATGCACTTTACTTGTCAAAGATAACCCGGTCAGCAAAAGAAAGAAATTGTCGACGCCTACGCTGGCCATTGCTTTGACTTTTACAATTTTACTGTTGAACAGGAGCACTCTGGACTGTCGAAGCGACGGGAGTTACATTATGGTAGGGGCAAGCCCACTATTAAGAGAATCGTCATTTTCCATAGGGTTAAAGCCAGTATCCTCTTTTATTTCCGGGCTTGACGAGCTAGAAGATGAAGCATTATTGAACTGAGAAGAATGAAAGGTTCTATTAGAAGTGTTTACTTTGAAGAATTCAATATACTGTGTTCAACCTCACTAGTTCTGTTTTCTGGAAATGATGTTCTCCTTCAAGACCAATTTCAACTTACTGAGCGAGACTCCATCCATACCTCTTCCCTACTAGTGGGTTATTCTTTATTTTCCATTCTAACATTTGTTTGACAGCTTAAACTAGGCTTCATTTTCTATAGGTTTTCGGTCTTAATCAAGATAGGTCAGGGGCGTGTCGGAACGGTCGGTGGCTGCTTAGTCTCATCCGAGAGTTTGTACTGCTCTTTTTCTTTAAAAAAAAAAGAATGGGTCGATTTAGGCTCCTTCCCTTCCATTGCATAGCCGCGCTAGCAGGAGCATAATAGTGCGTGTGGTTCATCGGTTCCACCGAAAACTCTCATTTGTTGAAGCGGATCATAGTGCACTTTAGGCGTCGTTTGATGTCTTATTCGTTGGTTTGAATGTCATTTGAACATAACTTATTTACAATGTGCATAAAAAATAACACTTTTTAGTAATCTTGAATCTTATCTCCACAAGAGATAAACTTGTTGTTTGGGGGGATTGCAGACTCTGGTTTGTATTTGATATGTAAATAGGAAGATCCACTAAACAATCCAACCATCTCAATTAAAATATGAAATACTACCCTCATTTATTTTGAATGATTGTTTTTATCATATCGAACAATACAATATATATGTAGATATTGTGAGTGCATAGAAATTAAACAAAGACAACGTATTGCAAAACAAGGCAAAAATTGTAACAATGACTAGGGCTGGCTATTTGGACCGGGACCGGATAAAAAACCGGAAACCGGACCGTATAACCCGGACCGAGACCGGACCGGATAGTAAACAATCCAATCCAATCTTTGGGCTTAGATTTGAGGTAAAAAACCGGATAAAGACCGGATAAGAGAGCTCAACACCCAAAACTTAAGTGTAATTTGCATAAACGGTCACAAACCTTTGCACTTAGTATAAAACTTAACCAACTCCTCACCCTTTTAGGCCTTAGGCCACTCAAATTCCCACAATCTCAATATAAAATCAAGATCGAATTGGGACCGGACCGGGTCAAGACCGGACCGGATCAAGACCGGACTGTATCCAATCCAATCTTTGGTCCTTATATTTTCAAAAAAACCGGACTGGACCGGATCAATTTGGGCCAATTTAACCGGACCGGACCGTATAGCCACCCCTAACAATGACACGAAAACAATCGCGGAGAAATCAACCTACAGTCCTACATTATGTCAAGATTCCATTGATTTTAACAACAAAGAAATTCTTAATATCAAACCGGATCATTGCCGTCAATAATAATTCGTAAAGCAAACAAACCAATCTTTAATTTCGTTTTTTATATGCTAGCTATATATACATACAATACGAGAGTTTCAATTTCCAAAAACACTCGCCAAACTTTGGAAGAGAAGAAGTCAGTCACTATACAATCATCCACCACCGCAACAACAACAAAAAACAAAAACAAAAAAATGAAGCTTTCTTATGTTCATGGCATCATAATGACTGTAACTCTTCTTCTGGCGATCTACTGCTGCTGCGATGGAGCTGATGATCCTACTCTTGGCTTCACAGAAGTCCCACTGAATCCATCAAACATGGTCATCCTCAAACCATACGACGTCCCTGTCGACCAGCGCTACAGCTTCATCAACGGCACTCACCGGATGTGGGTTTACGCCGACGACAAGCCTGAAGCTCCCGGCAGCAATACCCAGCCCCGCACCGAAATCCGCATCGTCGTACGTAATTTACCATCTATAATCTACGTTGCTACGATTTGAAGTCAGATTATCTGTCGTCCCGACTAAAGGTCAACCTCTCTAATTTGTATCTTCCCGAGAATGGTGAAATCAAATATTGTGAAACCCGTAAGTTATACCAAGGAAGAAAAAAAAATCAGTAGTAAGGATTTTTCTTTTTGTACTACAACCGTGGTTTAAATGTAGTTCAATCGTTCCCCAATCGCTAACGATGGCAAAAATATCAGTAACCGTGGATATCCGTCGGAATCCGCCTGATAATCGGGTTGGGTAAAACCCGAGCCCGAAGGAGTTTTAGTTGGTACGGCGGGTAAAACGTGAACCCGAATATTGTGGGTAATAATAGGTAGGCATAGTTTTCTAACTATCCAACCCGAACCCCGCCCGATTATACAGATGCATATGTATTTTCTCTAGAAATCATTAATTTTCTCTCTCGCATATTTTATATTTAGCGAAATAAACATAATATTTTTTCATGAAACTGTGTTGTTTTAATTAATTTTTCTTCGTTCTAGTGAATTACAGTTGTATTTTTTTTCCTTTTATATAATGTGAGAATAACGTGTGTGAATGTTAACATATTTGTTGGAGCTATAAAGAGAAATTATTATCTATAGATAACCGTGGAATGATATACCGGCAGAAATCCGAACGCGAGTATGGATATGGACATGATTTTGATTTTCTTCCCGTTTCTTACGTGGGTATTAGGGTATATATGGATAAAACTCGAATTACTTTGAGTAGGGTAGCGGATATTAAGTCCCGATGATTTTTTTGTTGGCAGGGGCTGGACTACTCGTCGGGAGTGTGGCAGTTCGAAGGCCACGGTTTCGTCCCCAACGGCACGTCGGGAGCCACGGTGGCTCAGATCCACGGCGCGGCCCACGGCAACACCACTTTGCTTCTGAGGATCTACGCGCCGGGAGAAATGAGGTACTACAGCTCTCTCCACGTGGCCGACGGGATGTACGACAGGTGGTTCCGGCTGAACATGATCCACGACGTCGACGGCGGCAAGGTGACCGTTTTCTTGGACGGCGAGCAGAAGTTCCAGTATCACGACCAAGGGCCGGGGGACTTGTTCTTCAAATGCGGTGTTTATGGAGCTCCGGCTAATATTAGCTATTACATGGAGTCAAGGTGGAGAGACATCAAAATTTATAGGAAGTAGTGAGTTTGATCTACTGATCAGTTGAATACTCATCAATAAGAGGAATGTGAAAAATGGGTTTGTTTTTTATGTTTTACAGAATTTGGACAATGAGAAGGAGAAATGTGTATGTGTCCTCTGGTTATGTCAACAAAATACCGAAGCTGTTAGGGAGAAAAAGTCGGTGGTTTTATAAATTGCTATCTTGGCCTTAATTATACACTATATAGACTAGTTTGGCTAGACGCATGTTTTGATCACAGTCAATTTGAATGATCTACACAGTTGACTAACGGTCAACCGTCCACCTCACTGCCATGTGAGCACCAATTTTAAAAAAAATCAAATTCCAAATTATTTTCGTATTTTTCTTTATCTAATAAGGAAAAAAATATTGAAAAAAATGAGTTTACAACGTGAAGTTGAATTCTAATGGATCAATAAAACCATTATTTAAAATAAATAGAAAAGTACATAACGCTATAGTTGTGGCAAAGGTTTGTACCCAAATATATTATAGTAGATTTCCTCGATATCATTTCCCCATTGTCAGTCACAGGTACGTGTCAGACAACGGGACGGGTCAGAAGACTCGCTCCACCCCGCCTACGAGAATAGGGCAGGTCGGATCGATTAGAGTACCCATACTCGCCACACCCCGCCTACGGGACGGGTCAGACTCGCCCCAAAACAGGTCAAACAAATAGGGCAAAATTGGTCAGGGCAAAATTGTCACCCCTATTTATTAGAATCTTGCTTAGATTACTCTATGTTTACTATATGGATGCATGATTGGATTGTTATCTGTCTGGTGTATCTATGTTGACGACATAATACTAGCAATGAACAAAATTGATAACTTAAAACAAATTAAGATGTATATATCTTATCTCCAACTAGTGTCCGCCGGTCACTATTTCACAATTCTGTATTGTTGTTCCGTTTGATCTCATGGCTGCACTCGCGCTTGTAAAATATTTAGCATATCCTATGCCTAAAGTCGGTCATAGAAATGCTTAACCGCAAAAGAAACAAAACATGTAAATCAAGCAAGGTTATAGATAAGGAAGTAATTTTTTCTTGCATGTGGTCTTCATATAGAGCCAAATTCTTCTCTCTCTCGTTCTTTTTTTTATAGAACACATAGATAGAGCCAAATTCAAGAAGACCAGATAGATGAAACCATCAACCACTATTATACATACATAACACGAAGCCATTCAACTTCCAAACACTCACTAAACCAAAAAACAAAAGAAGAAGCTAATAACAGAGAAAATGAAGCTTTCCTACATCCTCCACGGCCTAATAAATTTTACCATCCCTCTTCTTCTGGCGCCGATGATCCATCGCTGCAGCAATGCAGCAGCTGCTGCAGATGATCCTACCGACGGCTTCACAGAGATCCCACTGAACCAATCCAACTTGGTCCTGCAAAAGCCATACGACGTCCCTCTCCACCAGCGATACAGCTTCGTCGGCGGCGTCCACCGGATGTGGGTCTACGCCGACGACAAGCCTCACCATCCCACCAGCCCGACCCAGCCGCGTACCGAAATCCGCATCACTGTACGTAATGTCTGCTCCTATACGATAGCATCCTAAATTTCGCTATTACTGGCACAAACGCGCGTGAAAGTTTTGGCTATACAAGTGTATTTTTGTCAAATAATCAAATAGGAGAAAACGATTACATGACCATAGCGGAATAAGTTCTCTCTCTAAGTCATGATGACAGTAGAAAAAGATACACGGTATCCTCTGTTGTCTGAAAAGAAAATTGGGTCGGCTACTAAGCTGAGTGTGAGGTCTGGTCCTACCCGGCAAAACTATACGAAATATAGTTTCATCTGTCTCCAAATTGGTTTTCAGGGGTTGGACTACTCGTCAGGAGTATGGCAGTTCGAAGGGCACGGTTTCGTCCCCAACGGGACGTCAGGAGCCACAGTAGCCCAGATTCACGGTGGGAGCCATGACGCCACCACGTTGATTCTGAGAGTCTACGCGCCGGGAGAAATGAGGTTCTACAGCTACCCTCGCATCGCCGACGGACTCTATGACCGGTGGTTCCGGCTGAACATCATCCACGACGTCGACGGTGGCAAGGTGACCGTGTTCTTGGACGGCGAGCAGAAGTTCCAGTTCCACGACCAAGGCCCAGGCGACTTGTACTTCAAATGTGGCGTCTATGCAGCTCATGCTAATATCAGCTATTACATGGAGTCCAGGTGGAGAGACATCAAAATCTATAGAAAGTTGTAACTTCAATGTCATCAAAAACAGGTTTCTTTTAGATTTTACAGAACCAATCAAGCTATCAGGAAAGCAATAAACACTATAATGAGGTTATATAATATAACCCTCTTACCACCAGTAAACCATTATAACCAATATCAGGAATCTAAAGAATGAAATGTCAAAAGCTAAGCTTACACCACAAGCAAAAAGGGAAGCTTGCAGTGGAGACTGCTAGTATAAGTCGAAAGGAGGAGGAACCCTGTACATGAAGAGCAGATGCTGGAGTCGAGAGAAACCCTAGGGACTACAAGGAAGGCAGCAAAGCTTCCCGATTTGAGCGAACACCCACTGCACGCCATATGGAACCTCTTCGTCGGTATCTGAAGATGCAGCTGATGGTGCCAAAGGCAGAGCGGGAGGCAACTGGCGGTGGAAAGCATTGACTGCACCAGCTACCCCACTTTCGTTGTCGATCAGTTTTGCCAGCTCTGTTGCTCGAGACTTCACCTGAGAGAGGTTTCGGACGATGACAGGCAGAGGGTTATTCATATTCCAGAAACAGAATCCAGGCACTAAAACTAAGATAAAACAAGAGATGATGAAGGGGAAAAAAGGGGCACGTAGATAAGCACCTCTGGCTGAAGCATGAAACTTATGGCACTCGAAAGGTTCTCAACGCTGAGCTGGGAAATGGGTATCGGTGCTGGTCCTAGTCCCTTGTTGTACACTCTATCTCCCCAGAAGAACTGATCTCCAAAGAAAGGGACTATGGTCGTTGGACACTGCAAATTACAAGGTCAACTTGAAAGTGAGATGATCTATCCTAGAGGACGAGATAGACTGGTTGGAGCCTATACAAATGAAACAAGCATTTACCCCGGCTCTAAGTCCTGTAGCTGTTGTTCCAGCACCACCGTGATGAACCTGCATAAACTCGCAAAACAACCATTTTAGGAATAAATATATGCCAGAATTTATGTTGGTAAGATGTTGCAATAATTCTCACCACTGCAGCACACTGAGGAAACAACCAATCATGAGGGCAGTCTTCCAACAGGAAGATATCATCTGGAGGTTCCATAACTGCAAGAAAACGGGTGATCTTCAGCATGGCATGGTTTCATATTGGTGGAAAAGCACTACTATGAGAAACCACTAGCTAGGTTAAAGTACGAATCTCAAGGAAACGACCCTTAACGAACTTTATAGTTTATAGTTTCAACAACAGTAAGAACAAAAGCAACAGCAAATACGTACGACTCCCAAGGCCACCCCATCCTTTGTCGATTATCCCTCTCTGCTCAGTTACTTTCAATGCCTCCAGTATTATTTCCACAGTTTTCTGTGGATCATCAAGAGGCTACATCCACAAGAAGTAACTAACTCAATAATTCACTCGCTGTGACCAACAAACATGACAAATTGATGAGGAAGAGAAGGCAGAAATTAAAAAATTTACAAGAGTCACCATACCATGCTTCCAAACCCAATATATATAGGCTTTTTCCCCTTTTGTATCCACCGGACAAACTCTGGTCTAGGTTCATACTTTGACGCAAGGTTCAAGAAACAAAATCCAACAACATCCACTTGGGGTCCCCAATCTGCATATTGGCTTTATGAAGTCGATAATCTAATCCTCAAACCATAAACATGGCTTTATGATGCAAATTGGTGGAGAAAATTACCAAGTGGTTTTGGAACAAGATGGGGACTCCACATATAACCAGTTGGAAAATGAGATATTGATCCATAGTACATACTGAAATATGCAATAGGTGAGAGCTTCAATTTCTTCCTGAAGTCATTTATATATCCTCTTATTCCCCACCATATCAGTAAATCCACAATAATGTAAGAAATCTGGGTCCAGCAATGAAAAAAATAGATTAGAAAATTTCCAGGAGTAACTTAATCCAGTGCAACTGGATGAAAAGAATGTACATAAGAAAAGGAAATACGCAAAAACATACCCAGTAACCAGCACTTTGAGGTACACGAGCTAAAGGATGAGGAAATTCATATGTTGGCCTGCCTATTGAAAATGGAAGTTAGAACGCATACACAAAAGGAGATAATGAAGAAATAATCAAATAAGATAAATAAAAACAAACATCCATTTGTGCAGCATATTATAGTCTCCAATATATCAATAGAGCCGGTTGATTTATTGATGAGGTAGAGTTCTGGTCAATACTCACGTCCATGGCATTGTGAAGAAAATATGGATTGGCACACCAAGAGCTTCAGCCACATGTACATGTCCTGCAGAGATAGAATAAATCACAGTTGACAATTCAAAAGGCCAGTTGCATTGAAATTGCCACGGAATCAGAACAAAACCCTTCAAACATGACACAAGTCAAATGAATATTATCAAAAGATTCAGAAGAACCTAATTGCTCTAATAGTGCTTAAGACAGTCATCCTCGAGGTGTATAAAGAGTAAGTTAGTGTTACTGAAGAACCAGGTTATAAGAGAACTGAGACTTTACTTACCATAAGCAGGAGGGTTGGCAATGATTGCCTGGGCTTTGAATGACACGCCAGTCTCTGGATCAGGTTCCGTACATGCTGGAAGAAGGGATTCAATGATGTCCTTCATTTGCTTCCTCTGAATCAATATTTCTCCAGGCGAGGAAGGGATCAAACCTTTATTACGAGCCATATCTGAAATGAGCACCAGGTATTTAGAACAAGCATAAGAAACAAACTTTAAGAAGATAAGATGCAGGATGGAGCTATGACAATTACTCCAGGATTAAGTTTTAAGAAGTAGAGCCTCCCCACATGTGGAAATCATTGATACCTAAGTTAGAAAATGTAGGTCAAAGGCTTACTTTGAGAGTGAAAAATGCACATCGACTATTATTATTTTAATGGTTATAGATTGATAGATATCATGCTTAAACAAAAGGTAACCCAATAAGGATCAAGAACTAAAGGCACCCTGTTAAAAATAAGAAAGCCTGACACGCCCCATGATATAGCCAAGAAGTTGATCATCTTCCCCTGCTACATCATAACATCTTCATTTTAAGGAGGAGCAATCAGCTATGGCATTTCTTTATATATTTTTCCACACCAAACGATTTACATGAGAAAACAACACAAAGAAATAGAACTCTTACATCCTGCCAAGACCCGAGGGTCGCCACCCAAGGGATAGAAGTCTACACCAGCTGCCCTCACAAAGCTCCTAAAATTGGCATGAGTTGCCAACCTAACACGATGACCAAATTCCTGTATGAAATTTTCAGATCATGCATTAGAGGGAAAGAATGAAACCTGATTGTCCCAAGTGGGCAGCAGCCAAGTGTGCTAAGAAAAGCTTAGTAAACAACTAACTACTCCGCATTAAAAAAAAATCTGAAACGATATACTATTTTAAGACATGAAAGAACAAAAAAAAAATATTACAAAGTTAGTAAGGTAATGAACATGCCTGAAGCCTCTTTGCCATTGCAAGAAAAGGTTGCACATCTCCTCTCGTTCCAACCACAAGTATGGCAATCTTCAACTTTGGAATTGGTTTATTCACTAGAGAAGTGTCCTCATTGATATAAAAGGATGCACTTCCAACTGAATGAAGCTCTAACAAATCTGAAGCAACTGAATCATTTCTGTCTATGTCTACTTCCACGGTTCCATCATTTTGGACTCGGACAAGCTCAATAAGAAGCTTGTTCTGAAATCAGCAGACAAAGAATAAAGATTAATTTGAAAGTGATATAGGTGAATGAAGAAGAGACAAGTCACCCATCAGCTTGCAAACAGATGTAGGCAGTATGCTAAGTCACCTGTTCATGGTCTAACAATCTGTCGAACTTCAGCTCATGCTTTGACCGCTTCTCCGTGATGGACCGATATAAGGTTATATTATCTTTATCATCAACCACAAGGTTTCTGTGAGCCACAGCGGGTGCACTAATGCTGTGGTCCAAGCCTTGAAAATCAGAGGCTCCGATGTTAGAGAATGTGTCAAATATTTTACAGAAAGGAAATGCAAATAAAGGGGGGAAACAACTAAGTATATCTCATCGCTAGATGAAACTTTCGCAATGAGAGAAGTATTTTGGAAAGAGACATACAAGTTTAAAGTTTAGATACAAGGACCAGCTAGCCAAACTAGAACCAAAGGAGGAGAAATTCGTTTGCTTCAGTTGTGGGAGGACATCGAACAGGAGCGCGATAAATCAAGGTTCCAAATACATGATCGACCAAATTCAATCAAATAAGTGTTTCAAGCATGACCTACTAGCTTTGGGATTCCAGTGCAGTCTACCATCAGCACTACATCAAATGAAAAACAGACTCCATTTCCTCACGACAAACTCTTCTATCAACTACAATTCCGGAACGGTAATTCTAACAAGCAATCCCGCTTACAGAAGATAAAGAGCACAGGGGCATAACATTTACACACCTCTTACAGGGGAAGAAGTAGCATCAGATCCTTCTTGATGTGATGTCGCGAGAATTGATAGCCGTTGCTCAGACTTTGCATCCTGAATTTTGTCAGTCTTTGTATCTGCAACTGATGGCAATTGCTCTTCCAGCTGCTTATAGTCCTCAGTCATTGACTTCACAGCATCACCAATCTGCCTGGAGTCTTCACCACTTCCTCCTTGACTGTCGTTGATTCCCTCCTCCGAATTACTTAAAGGGTGATCATTACATCTTTCCCCCATTTCATCACTCAGATTCAACCACATGACCATAGAGCCAAAATCAATTAACTTCCAATTTCATCTCCAGAATGGGGATCTACCCCACCAAGTTAGCTTCTTGGCGAGTAAACAAACAGTTAAACCCTACAAGAAAAAGCACAACATCCAAAAACCTCTTCCAATCAACAACAGTTGCCAAATCCCCGAACCTGGGGACATAAACCTTCCAAACACTTAAAACCAGCAGCTCCCATACAAAGTAGAGCAAAACCCCAACCACGAATCTTAAACCCTTTTCAGCAAAAGCAACACAACAACTTGGTAATCGGTCACGCTAAAACCAAGCTATAAAGAACACTTGACACGAAAATCGCAGAGAATACAGAAGTTTCAAGAACAGAGAAGGAGCAAGTTTTTTTTAGGGGATACTTACCTCGCAGTGGTCCACAGATAGAAGGGTCTTCAGAAGGAATCTCCGAAATCCCAGAAAGGGAACAAGTCAGTAAACCCAAACCTACCCGTCAATCCCAGAAAGGTAGGTGAGAGACCCAGTTAACCAAAAACCAGAAAAGGTTTGATCTTTTATGTCGGTTGCACGAAATGAAGGAATGAGCTCACGCTTTGCAGGAGCAAGAACGTGTTTCTTTCTGTTATCAAATAATAATTAGTAGAAGGAAAGGGTGGGAAAGGAAACACGCAGAAGGGCGGAGGGACCCAAGGTATGGGGAGAATGATTAATGGAGATGAGAGCGACGCCAACTTATTATTACATTTACACATCTACAGACTACAGAGGATACGAATTGAATGCAATGCGGTATGGGGCTGCCTCTGCCTCCTCTGCTCATGACGCTCTGGCTCCAGAAATTCTTTTGTTGGTGACCAATTGATGACCAAAAAAGCTTGACTGGACTGATGATGAATCCCCAAAAGGGCAGGCGAGAAATATTTTTCTAATGGGAAGGTAGGAAGGAAGGAAGAAATTTTTTTTTGGGAAGAAAGAAAGAAATTTGACTGTGGTGACTTCTCTGTCTGTCCGTCTCCTTTCTCTCTCTCTCGGGATCTGTCCGTCAGTCCGAAACCGAGGGTTGAGGGAAAGACCGAAAGAAGAAAACTAGTAAGGCACGAAACCTTTGCATAAACCCAATCTTAGTTTTGTTAATTATGATTAATTAAATAAAGTGATCTAGGTGCCGTTAGATATTTTGATTTGTCTTCTTCATTTTTGGAGGAATATTTTATTTTTTAATTATATAAACGGAAAGTGGAATTAAGGATGACAATGAGTTAAATAGGTTTCTTGGGCTGCAGATAGGAATATAATCCTTCGTTATACATTTTTGCATAACTAAATTTGAATCATTAATTTAGAGTGGATCCAGAAGAGTTCGGATCTAAGGTTGGGAATTAAAGGCTTTTTATTTTTCCTAGTTTTCTTAATCGCTTTTATTTTTTCATTCTAATTTGGATTTTAAAAAAATTTGCACATATGAAACGAGTTGTGATCGGAAAAATGAGATCCATTTTTAATATATTTCGCGGGGAAAATTTCATACCACTTTTTACCGCATCCATACCTTATTGTATCACCTTCATTTTTAAGTCAATTTTGAAAATTTTGCACAAAAGTAATGTGTTGATCATGATCTATTGGATCTACAATTTTCTGGGGGGAAAGTACAGGGCCAAAAAATATCACCATATACCACCCTGGTATAGGGGGTATCTTGTAATATACAATGTTGAAAGTTATAAACAACAGTTAGTATATTCCTACTATCATATATTCAGCAATTCTACAGTCTAGTATGTTTATACCATCATCATACACTCTCATACCACGTGGTATGCTCTTATGTAATACCAAACAATACCACCATGGTTTAGACTAGTACTAAATGTCTCAAATTTTTATTCTGAAAATATATCAAAGTGAATATCATTTTGATGCGCAAAATTAATATGATTTAACTGTGAAAAAAAAATTAAAACAAAAAAGTTACAGTCCGTTAAAATTTAGAGGGGGAAAGGTTAGAAGTCTTCCACAAATGATGATGTGGCAGGTTATTGATAACATCTAAAATATGTGTTATTTAGCCCTTATTCTTAAGGCATTTGCATGTTAAATTATCGTGTCTAAGCCACATATCAAGTTATTCATGCCTATTTTCGTTCCTATTTGTAAAACATGCATTTTGGCATAGGTATTCTTGATACGAAGGTTTGCATAGGGGAACCGGCCCCACTTTGTCTTATTTTATGCTCTTTCAAGAGTTTGTGATGAAATTCTAGGTCTTAAATTCATCTGGAATTGATCAAGAATCGATTGGAGTTCATCCGAGCATGATTGGAAAGCGTATGAGAAAGAAGGGGAGAAAAGGCACAGGTCACGGCCCACACATCACGGCTGTGACCAGGCCGTGACCAGGTACACGACCGTGAACATTGGTCGCGAACCTCAGCAGGCGACCAAGAAGAAGGCCGAAATTTTGACACCCCAATCACGGATATGGTGCGGTTGACCGCAAAAAAAAAAAAAAAAAAAAAAAAACACGCCCGTGACACAAAGATCACGGTCGCGATCTTATGAAGGAGGTCGTGATCTCGGAGCATAAAGACGGTGTCAAAATGCGACGTTTCGGGCAAGTCAGCAGCGTTCCAGCTGGTCATGACCGTGACCACTATATACCAACAGCCTAGAATAATCTCTTTTCTGCACTTGACAAAGGAGAGCCGACCTGGAGTGAGAAAGTTAGGGTTTTGGAGTGTTTTAGAGAGGAAAATATCTTGAGAGAGCTTCATTGAAGATCCAATCCACCCAAGGAGCAAGAAGAAGGTTCAAGCAAGGAGAAGAAGTTTGATTCCATCATTCCTCTCTTCTAGTTTGTATTTTTCTTTCTCTCTCTATGACTTGAATCTCTAACGGTTATTTAGAATGGATGAAGCCTGGATTGTAGTTGGTATTTGAATGAGTTTATTTATGGGTATGTTGTTCTAGTGAATTTATGATTCATGTGTGTTTAGTTATGCTTGGGTAAGTCACTCTAATATCCACTAGCCTACTTGAGCTTCTACGTTGAGTATGGAGTTTTAGCGTTAGACGGGTGTGCGCCATCTAGCACACTAAGGATAGTGAGTTATCTTAGGGCTTTGAGGTGGATGAGGCGACCAAACTCGTGCCTCTATAGTGCCTTCCTAGAACAATACTTTGGGAGGTTCACAAGAGCACAGATCTGACTCCCCAGTAGTGTGTGATAGATGAACCTGTTTAAAGGAACTATGAGAGCATCCCTAGTGAGGAAGCTTAGATCGAGGTGATATTGGGTCTTTGTGGGTAACACTAGGAGGAGGGAGAAATCATGTTGGAAAAATCCCCAAATCATAGAGTTCCGCATCATATTTGTTAAACTCAACTTACCGACTATAGCTAGGAGATTTTAATTCTAGGAAACCATCTCATTTCTAGCGGTCTCCCAACCACTTGTTTGGTTGTTTGTTTCACCTTTAGAAGTAGGTTAGATTATTCACCCAAACCTTTGTCGATTAGATAATAGTTCAGAGCGAAGTAATAGTAAGCTTAGAGCTCCCTTGGAATACGACCGAGCCACTTTACTACAACCCTAGCTAAGTTATGCTTGGCTTTGTTCGGATTGAATAGAGAGTGTGCATCGACTTATAAATTTATTTTGGAATCTAAATTGGGTATTTTATTTTGGAATGCAGTTTGAAATAGGTTGATTCATATGGGTTGGTATTTAAAGGAAAAATACTAGAAACCTTAATTTTTACTAAAAATTCGAGAAAAAACTATGGACGTAGTCAGAAATTCATCTAAGGTAGATCCATAACGTAAGTTTCAGGATTTTTTTTCATATTGTGAAATTTTTTGTAAAGTACATTTATTATGTAAATTACAAGAGATGTTAAGATATCTCATCGAAAAGTTATTCATGATTTCATTACTCATTTTATTCTGAAGTGTTTCCTTACTTTGCTCATTACACTAAGTGCTCTTTCAACGCTTGTAATGACAACTGATAGAAACAAATGCCTCTATGTTTTGAGTTTTGTTTATATTAAACTCAGTTACAAAATATATGAATTAAAAGTTAAATAGATATCACAAAGTATTATTTGTCATAAGTTTACTTTACTTACGATAATAGGGACATTTTGTATTTAACAAGGTGGCGTGAATTACCTATCTTGGCCTCAACTAGCTCCGCCACTAGAAACAGATTATGACATGATGAATATAGTTAAAGTATTCAACAAATTGATGTTTTCACATATTTACAGTTGTATTATAGCTAATATATGATTTAATATAGTGCAAATCATGAATATTTCGAATTAAAGTATATATAATAATTTAAATAAAATGAGTCGAAAATGGACAGATCTAGTAAGGGGAATACCCTCTTCGCCTAAACTTATCGAAAATAGTCCATATTATATGGTGCAATATTAGTGTCATATGGACCCCTTAGAAAAGGTTTTCAAATTGATTGATGAGATAAGTCTAATATAATTATTAATTAAAGAGCCAAGTAGAGGTGGAAAATGGATTAGTGGATTCATAAATAAGATTAAATGGATTGGCGGAATGGATCATGGATCCAAGTGACATTTAAACATTAGACCAATCTGTAAATTTTTTTGAAAATTTTATGTACTAAAATGTCATAACAAATAATTTCAGTTATCAAAACGCTATTTTCAATACTATTTTTCGTCAAAAATTGTAGGTTACCAAATTCTAAAATATAAAAAACATAGATAATGAACTTGTAATCCGTCAACAATCCATGAATCCAAATCGAATGATTTTAATACAAACTCAATCAAGATATATGGGGCATGCAAATATATACAAATTTTTTTACAAACAATACGAACTTTTTCTACATAGTAGAGCTTCCAGCAGATCTCGTAAGCTCCTCGACAACCAAGCCTCGAGCTCTGTTAATGGTGAGAAGGCACAGACACATGAGCTCTTCCAGTTCGTCAACCTGCTTCCTGAACTTGACATCCCTCCTCTTCATCTCGTTCACCACTTGCGAACAAAACAGAGTCCGATCGCTCGGGTTTTTGCCCTTCTCCAACCAGAACCTCGCCATCTCCTTTCCATGCTCCACCTCGTCGTAAAGCCTGGCCACCAGCCGGCTCACCGTGTCCATGTCACGGTTCAGTATGTAGACTCCTTTTGCGGCCATGTCCAGTTGTCGTCGCAGCTTTCTCAAGAATTCGGCGCTCGTCATTATCTATACAGTCAAAATCGAGACTTTACATAAAACTCGGGGGAAAAACCATGCTATCTATCTAACTAAATGACATGGTGTATAAGTACGTCGAAATGTTTAAGTCCAACAAACAATGAAAATAATCTTCTTCGTTTTAATAACGTTGACATTTAAAATGGTTTGAATTATTGCAACTTATTTTTTTATACGGCAGTCATTTGGTGACAGAATATTTGGGTAATTAATCAAAATTATCTCGTAGGTTTGATCTAGTAACAAAATGGTCAAAATTGTTTAAAATGTAACGACGATATAACAAACCAGTTATTCCATGTCTTTCCCCCTTCATATTTGCATTCAAAATGACAATTTAGCTTGCTCTAGAAAAAAAATGTAATTTTACAGGTTGTTTAGGTGTCTCGTATTTTTTTTTTTGGTTAATTTTGCACAGTGTCAACAAGGTAATTGGTAATTTGTTGATGTAAATGTGGACAACACAAGAAAAAATTATCATTTTCGTTATATCGTCATACTTGTGTGGTCTTTTTGTTACGTTTTTAAACGTTTGTAATCATTTTGTTACAAATCCAAATCTAAGTGACCATTTTGATGAACTACCCCGGAATATTTTGAATACATTATTTTAGAATGCTTGGGCTAGATTTTTTTTTTAATGTCATATTTTGCAAAATCTAGAATAAAACCAGATTAATCACCCTAATATAACAACCATTAATCAAAATTTAGTACCTTAAACCTCATAACTCTGCTGACCAACTTCTTCACCGGATTAAACCCGCCCGCCACCGCCAGCGGTCCCATCACGAACGCAGTCAGCGTATGCGCCGCCAGAACCGCCGCCGTCACCGCCAGCACGCCGCAAGCCGCCGTGATCGAAATCCCCGTACCTCTGTTCACACACTCCACCAATTTAATCTTCCTCGCCACCTTCCTCCGCTTCGATTTCAGCCTCTCCAGTACGGCGGCGTAGCCCTCGCGGATGCTCCCGAAATCGAGATCTCCGTCGGGGCAAGAGAACGGATTGTTCGCTTCCGCGATGTACGCGGTGAGCTCCCAGACGGCGCGGGACTCTGTTTCCGCCGGTCTCAGGGGAATTTCGTCGAACAGGTGGTGGGCGAACCGGCGGGTGGCGTGTGTTCGCGCTACGCTGGCGAGCAGCCCGCTGCAGATTCGCGAGGCCTCGGCGGTTGAGTCGAAGAAGTCGCGGAAGTAAGGGGTGAGTTCCGGGAGCTTCGAGAGGACCGCGGCGGATTCGAGGATTGCAGGGATGGAGGTTTGCTCTGGCTCGAGGAGGAGGAGGAGGATGGGATCTTCTTCTTCTTCTTCTTCAGGGGTTCGATCGTGATGATGGTTGGCCATGATTTGAGCTTTGCTGAAGAACGCCACGTAGGATTGCGTTCGCAGCGTTCTGTGGTATTCCTCGCTGAGATTCAGCCCTCTGTCGCCGCGAACCGATGATTTCGAGTAAACTTTATGATCTGCGCGCGCGATACCAACATAATTAAATATAAAATGTTGTGGTTAATGAAATGTAAGGTTAATCTACAAAAAATGGTCACAACTTCCAACACACACTAACCTTTCTTGATCTTGGAAGCTCTGAACTTAGCCCACATTTTGATATTTTTTTGTAGCTAGTAGGGAATATCAATGGGGATTTGTTAGACCAAAAGATTTATGACATTGTTGATATGTGAAATAGTATGAAGGGATTATGTGTATATATATGAATATGATGCATGCAAATTAAGAGTATTGAGGTTTACGTTGATTATTGCATCTTTTTCTGTTGTTATATTGTTTGTTGCAATTGGCGATAACTATTGAGGAGAGAAGGAGGTTTACACAAACTTAAAATTTCTCCCTCTAGAATTCATTTGCAAGCTTTGGGGCTGGAATTGCTGAAAGGGGGGAAGAGCTTTACAGCGGATTTGCAGGCCACTTTTGTAAAGGGTAATGATTTTGTTTGTTTCTTGTGCATCAACGTAACTCTCTATTTGTCTTTACATTATTTGAGATATTATTACAATGTAGTTATGTGCGCCAACTTACAAGTTTGGCACTTTGCTGTCGTATGGTTTTGCAGAACTTCGGGTAACACTTTGGTTGATGATTTACATGTATCATATGTTATTTATAAAGGATTCTCTTTCAAAAACCCGAGTTATTGAAATCAACGGGTTAATGAGATAGTATCTGATCGAGGGGGTTTTCTGTTCGAATTTCCATGACCACCGTTTGTTAACCACGTGATATTTGGACATGATCAGCAAACTTCAAGCCCATATGAGTCAGTAGACTTTTGTGTTGAGAAGTGTGTTTATTAAGTTTCATAATTGAATATCTTTCAAACACTCGAGTTTTCGGAATCAAATGGACGGTTCATGACATAATATTCCCTCCGATCTATTTTTATTTTAATCTGCAATCCACATAGCCAAATACTTGTGATTTTGTACTTAATTAAAAGCGTTCGATACAAACCAATCCGCAACTGTAGTACACATGAGCAAGACAAGCGCGGTATATCAATTCATAACTCTTGTCATCAAGTACATGCCTTGTAATACGATATTCGTCATATGAACTGTTCAAAATGTTATTTATTCATTCATTTCTCGAATTATTAGAAAATGACAAAAAAAAAAGTATCTTATAGCTTTTTCTTATCCTAGTCTCACCTTTCCCGATTTTGTTTACTTATGCATGGCTTTATGATGCTGTATTTTCAGTTATATTGATTAAGAGCCTTTAAACAGAAAGATGTAATTGTCAAGAATCATTTCGGATATGTATTTGCTCGTCATCTGATTATCGAACGAGGTTGTTCAAACTTGCACTGAATTGTAAATTCTTGGGGCAAAAAACATATGGATTTGACACATAGATAACGATGGAGTTGATGAGGTGGCACCAGTTTATCCCGACACCTGTCTTTCAGTGCGTCCAAAATTTGAGGTTTACAAATTTAGTTTGGCGACCATGTAATTTACGTAACTGGAAAGGTTGGAGGGGATTGATGATCATTAGATATGTTATATATAAGAAACCCTAATTTCGTGTACTTGAAGTTCAAGGCAATAAAGCATGCATGCATGCATTGATGTGTAGCTTCATCAGTGCGTATCATATTTATATCAAATCACTCTAACAAAAAAAAAAAAAAAGACGGTTCAATAATCATATTTATGGGATTTTAATATACGAATCATCATTTATAAATTTTAAATGTATAAAATACATATATATTTTTTATTAGTGGCGAGATTCAAATAAGGACCTCCCTGTAAAATACCATCATTTCCACTACTAAGCTATATGACAATACATGTTTTATGTATAATAGTTTTGAATATATAGTTACAAGTGCTTAGTGGCCTCTTCAATGATGTCAATACAAAATTTGCTAAGTTACGTGACATGTTTAAACCCAGAAGATTCATTTGTTAATTTTGGCAAGAAAATATTGTTAAAACTTGCTACATTTTATCCTAATGAGTTCTCTACAAGTTCTAATCTTACATGTTGACCTTCATCCCCATGTTCATATTCAATGTGAAGACAATTGAGAAGTTTGCAGGATTAAAGATAATTTTTGAATTTATTAGAAAAAAAACCGTGTGAAAAAATATCGAATATTTTCATTACTGTATCAACTTATGAAATTGTCATTGTTCCTACATGCCGCTGCAAGTGCTGAAAAGAACATGTTCTGCATTGAAATTTGTGACGATCGAACACATTCATGCGTCAGACGAGTGGTGGAATATAGAGAGCGACATCCTTGATAGTTTGAATGATTATTGTAATTTAGATACTTTTCAAAATATGAAATTACATCCATTGCACAACATTAAAATGTTTATGTTACTGTTTTTTAACCTAAAACCTACCTAAGTCATGAAATTGCTAACTACGCCACTGATTTCAATACCAAGTATAAAGAACAAAATAGAGGAAATATGGTTGTCATGGGAGCGAGGAAATCGTGAAGGTAGAAGGAAATCATGGAGAATATATCTAATAAAGGCACAGAAAGGAGTCGGCATCGATGCCTTTGTATATTTAGATTTTGTACATATTCAGCCGCAAAAATGATGGAATGGCGTATTTCTCTATTGTAAACGTGTGTTAGGTCGTTTGGAACCAGAAAATATTTGTAACGAGAGAACGATAGTTGTGTGCTTTCGTCCTCTTTTTTTCCGTTTGCTGCCTTAGCTATTACGTTATTTGTTTGTTTTGGTGGATCTAACTAAAGCAAACCGTATACACAAATGACAAAATACAATTCTGGTCCAGGAAATCATCAGAGCGAGCTAGCTTGTGTATCAAGGATGGAGCTAGCTACTTAGCTAGACAGCTTGCTAGTGACAGATGCATGCATGCATGCATGGCCTGAATTTTCGTTGTCAAGAAATTAGATAATCGAAAAACCAGGTGAAAATTTATATGGTTCACTTTGCACAATATGTGTTAGCTGGTCCACGGACAGGTAGAGCCAATTTCACTATAGGAGATTACATATTACATAAGGATATGATATGAGAATTATATATATATATATATATAGTACTTCTTCAAAGAGTCTAACCATAATCCAATATGGTAAAGAATAAAATTATATATTAGGCCCAGAAATAGAAACTCAAACATACATAAGTCCATAGTAACTTTCAGTAGGCGACAGATAGGAATGGCAATGGGGGCATGTCTGGGGCGGGTATCATGATACGCATACCCGTCCCGTGGCAGGTTGGGTCCAGGTCGGGTAATTTATCATGGGTCATGGGTCGGGGCAGGTCGACCAAATGGGTATGTAATTTATAGGGAAAACATTATAAATATTCGTTAATTTCATTATAACATCAAGAAAACAAACCATATTAAGATAAATGTAGTTAAATTATTAGAGAAATTGAGGTTTTCACTGATTCACAAATTGTTATTGCTAAAATATGATGTAATATAAGGAAAAAAATTAGGTAATTTGACTAAGATTACATGTAACTTGGGCAAGAACGGGTCTAGAATGGGCCAGGTCGGATCGATGAGGGTACCCATGCCCGCCCCGCCCTGCCTACGGGACGGGTCGAACCTGTTCCAAAACAAGCCAAACAGATCGGATAAAACAGATCATGTCAAAATGGTCATCCCTAACGACAGATAATCTAATTCAAATCATATCAACAAGATTAGAGTGAGATACACGAAGATAATTGGACAATATGTGTTGGTCAATAAGTCATCAGTTGAATTGGGTTGGATTTCTGAGCTGGAACTTACGACCTGGCTGTATAATACACCAAACCCAAGCCGACGCCCAAACTCAAGCCCAATTAGCAATAGACCTAGTCCAGCATTGTTACCCAGCAAAACCCGGGCCATCACCCACAAATCGGCCCAAAAAATGCCATCGCTTACAACGGTCAGGATTAGAGCGGAAATGGATAAGGAAGACCAAAAAACGCCCGCCAATGTGGCAATGTCTCTTCCGCAAAACAACTACCCATCTCCTTCTCCTCCTCCCTTCTCCAACTCCAATCCCCAAAAATGGCGTCCTCCTTAAACCCGCCCCTCCCTCCAATCCTCCCACCACCATCCTCCAATCAAAACCCCACACCGCCGCCGCCGCTCCTCCTCCTACCCAGAAGACAACTCCTCAACCGAATCGGACTCCTCACCTCCGCTCCCTTCCTCTCCTCCACCGCCATCGCCAAACCCGCCTCCGCCAAAGAAATCGAAGTCGGCACCTACTTGCCTCCTTCCCCAACCGACCCTTCCTTCGTCCTCTTCAAGGCCTCGCAAAAAGACACCCCCGCCCTCCGCGCTGGAAACGTGCAGCCGTACCAGTTCGTGCTCCCGCCCTCGTGGAAGCAGACCCGCGTCGCCAACATTCTCTCGGGGAACTACTGCCAGCCCAAATGCGCCGAGCCGTGGGTCGAGGTGAAGTTCGAGGACGAGAGGCAGGGCAGAGTTCAGGTGGTGGCTTCTCCTCTGATTCGATTGACCAACAAGTTGACCGCTACAATCGAAGAGATTGGGTCCCCTGAAGACTTGATTGCTTCGCTCGGGCCGTTCGTGACGGGGAATTCGTACGATCCCGAAGAGCTGCTCATTGCGTCCGTCGAGAAGAACGGCGACCAGACGGTAATGTTTTCGAAAACAGAACATTTTTAGTAGTGTCAATTCGGAATTTCGTGATTGTTGAAAAACAGAGCAATTGAAAAACAGAGTAATTGAAAAACAGGGGATGGGTTGTGTGTGTGTGTTTGGTTGTTTGGTGTGTGCAGTACTACAAGTATGAGCTGGAGACGCCGTACGCGTTGACGGGAGCGCACAATCTGGCGAAGGCGACGGCGAAAGGGAGCACGGTGGTGTTGTTCGTGGTCAGTGCGAGCGAGAAGCAGTGGCAGAACTCACGGAAGACTCTCCAAGCCATTGTTGATTCCTTTCATCTTTAGCTTTTTTATACAGGTACAGCATTATATGGAGTGGAGGTCTCTGTGTGTTGGGAAGAGGAGTGGTTTGTATGAAGGAAAGAAATGAGAATTATGAGTGAGATTGGGAGCTGAGTTATGGGTCTTTCGGAGAACCAATTTTTTGTGGGTTCTTTCGGTGCATATGAATTAGTATCGAAGAAATTGTTAATGGAAGCAAAAAAATATTATCAAACTCGAGCAAATTAGTGTAAGCAGAATTATTGGTGCATATTAAGTGAATGATAGTGAAATAAGTAGAAGTGGCATGTAAAAACAAAAAATTGTTGATATGATTTGAATCGGATGATCTGTCTACGACGGTAAGTTCAATAGTGTTCGGGTTTCTGTTCTGGGCATGATTTGTAATCGTTTTCTTTTACCAAATTGAATTAGGGTTCGACCACTTAGATAAGTACTATAAATACTTCTCATGCTCTCCTCGAAATATAGTGAAACCAGCTCTTTCCTGTCCGTGGATTAGCTGTAACACACACTGTGTTAATGAATCATGTAAATTTGTGTGTCGTGTTCGTTCTTGTTTTTTTTTTGTCTGTCTTGCTTTGTTGTTTCTCCGATTCCTCGATCCGCAGAGAAATAGTGGTGAAATGATTAGTGTTGAATGATTGAAATTGCATGTTCATGTTTAATCGGCATCATTTAGCATGCTAGCGCGATTGGTTAATGAACTTTAAGCGTATATATGGAAATACACGGGAGGGGGTCGTAACACCCTCAGACTTCTATGTACAGTTAGGCGGCAGAGCAACTCGATGTTCGATTCAAGAATTAGGTGTTGGATTTTGGAAAAAAAACTTAGTTCAACACTTGACTCGTTCACTAACTCAACGATGGCTTATACCTTGTTTAGCTGACAAGGTTTGTGAGCCAGCTTGGTTGCTTGTTAAGGTCAACTTGTACTAGCTCGTTTTAAGCTCATGACCTGATTCCCAATGTGGCTAGCTAAGCTGGCTCCCGGTGTGTCGAGTGAGCCAAATAGACAAAACGACTTATGAGCAAATCCCTCTGTAGCTTATGAATTTATTTGTTGATAATTCATAATTTTGTTAGATTATATATCTCATCACAAATTATGTTTAAGATTTTGAGTGTGTGAGCAAATATGTCTCATGTATAATAAAACCGACAATGCATCAGTGAACGGACGGCAACGAGTCGTCTGTCCACTCCAAAGCAATCAAACACACGAGAATAACGACACCAAACAACCATCTCAAATCTCAACACACACTCGCCGGCCGCCGCTCTGCCGTAGCCACTAGCCAGCCGTCCGTCGCATTAGTTTAATCGACAAAACATCAAGTAGCTAGCAGCCTAGCAGCATAGCACAAAATATAGAAAGTCAAAGTGCACTATATAAAAGTACCAATGATTCTAGACACAATGAAATGATCAATAAGAATCAACCATAATCCAGTCAAAGAAAAGAAAACTAGTGGGAGGACAACTGGAGGGGGAAAAAAAGGAAATACAAAGGTTAATGTTAATTTTAGTCATTCTATTATGTCGTTCTGACGAATTACATCACTTTTATTAATGGTTTAGAACGAATAAGCAGCATGTTTATTATATTGATTATCCGCTTTTAGTTTCTTTGTTACCGTTCGTGTATAGATTCATTGGTAATTAGATCTGTTAATGCTTTGTTGAGCGTGATGATTTGATCCTCATTTGGGTTGTTGATTATAGTTTCGCTTCTCAACTTGATTTCAAAATCCCACATGTTCTCAAACTTAACTATAAATTTACTGAATCACAGTTGACGGTTGGGTTTAGGAGGTTGGTTAATGAGGGCATGATAAGGAGGTTGGTTAATGGGGGACATGATTGATGAGGAAAGGTTGATTGTTAGTAGTACACATAGGATGCGCTTACTATTGTACGATGAACTCGTTACTCATTAGTAACAAATTTGGATGAATACTGAATGAAGAGGCTTAAAATGAACAAGTTGTGTGACATAATATAAGGACTTCTTGGTGAGGGGGAGAGGGAGAGAACGTGTGAATTTTATTCACTATATTAAATTATGTCATTTTAATAAAGACGTCATAAAATTATGAACTTTAACAAATAAGCCGGTGCATTGTGTTGCTTCTATGCTTTTAGTCCATTAGCCAGAAGCCATGACAAAATCCGATATTTAATGGACCGGCTCCTTCTTAACAATCACCTCGTATATTAATCAAATGTCATGTATGGTGAATTTTTTTGGTTTTCCCACTAAATGCAACTCTCAAATTTCACAGGTCTGATCTTAGTTTTTCAATAAAATTCGTCATTTGAGGTTTGGTGGAGTGTCAAGATTAATTAGTCAGGGAGGATTGACGAGTATAAGATGGATTTTGAGTGAACATTGCATCTTAAGCATTTGGAATATGTTCCCTAAGCAAGAATTAGTTTCATTAATAACAGATTTGGATGGACTTTTTAACAGAAGGACTAAAAGTTAATAAACGATACACTGCAAGGGTTCTTTTGCTCAAAATTATTATGTAGTAAGTGTGTTTGTTGAAATCGCATATTACAGGCACTAAAATGTCATTAACTGAAAAGAGTACTATTTAACATAAAATAAAATAAAAACCTAGAAAATCATAAATCCACCATTCCACCGTTATTTATCGGCAATTTGGCATTCGGCAACCGGCGCTGCTCACAGACTACAGCTTCACGCGCCGGCGTGCCGTGACGACAACACGCGCCCCCGTCTCCCTGATCCCAACCAACAGAATAAACAACAAAGTCCAGACCTGACTCCTCAAAACTTCCACCCAAACTGTTTCCACTTCGTCGGAAAATCCCAAATCCCCAAACCCTAAGAAGGTCAAAAGGTCACTGATTCAGCCCCCAAAAGCAGCAATTCCAATTTTCCGGCATCGGAATTGCGATTTTTTCCCTCCTTCCGGCCAGGAAAATAAAAAAAAAAAAGGGCGCGAGAGTTGGGGGAAACTGTCGAAGAAAATTTCCGGAGAGTTTATCGGAAGGAGAGTGTGTGTGTCGAGAGAGAAGATTGGCGGAAATGGCGTCGTCGAAGGTGATGGCGTCGTCGAAGCCGAAGAATTCGGATCTGGCTTCAACGTCGTCGTCTTCAACAGCTCCACGATCGCGTCGTTTTTCTTCTTCCTCCTCTACTACTACTAAACACCGCTCTTCCGATCGCTCAACTACCATTCGGCCGCTTAACGTCGGGAACTCCTCATCCTCTAACATGACCGTCGATGGAATCCTGCACAACGTCTACTCCGCTCCCTCGTCGGAGCCCGCGCTCCTCGACGCTCAGATAACCCTAATGGACGCCCCGGCTCCTCCTCCTCCTCCTCCCCCTGCCCTCGCTCCTCCTTCTCTCGCCGCGGCGGTAATCCAGTCCAGCTACCACGCCAACGGAAGTAACGATCAGGAAATGGCAATTGCCGTTGCTCCTACGCTGCCGGGGAGTAACAAGACGGTTGACGACATGTGGAAGGAGATTGTGTCCGGGAGGAAGGAATTGAAGGAGGAACCGGACGAGATGATGACTCTGGAGGATTTCCTCGCCAAGGCGGGTGCGGTGGAGGTTGGCGGCGACGACGACGAGGATGAGGTGAAGATGCCGGAGCTAGCTTCGGAGAGGTTGAGTGGGGGAGTGTTCGCGTTTGATCCGGTGACAGTGCCGCCGCCGAATGCTATCCATATGCTGGATAAGGTTGAAGGGTCGATCGTCGGGTTCGGGAATGGAGTGGAGGTGGCTCCCTCCGGCGGGGGATTAGGTGTGGGGAGAGGGAAGAGAGGTAGAGCGCCGGTTTTGGAGCAATTGGATAAGGCTGCGCAGCAGAGGCAGAAGAGGATGATCAAGAATCGGGAGTCAGCTGCAAGGTCCAGGGAGAGGAAACAGGTAGAGTGAAGTTTGATATTCATCTGTTATAGTCTTGATTGGTGTTCATATTTGATCCTGTGGTGAACTAATTCGTTTATGCACTTCTGGTGGCGTCAGGCTTATCAAGTCGAATTGGAGTCTTTGGCAGTGAAGCTAGAAGAGGAAAATGAGCAGCTGTTGATGGAGAAGGTACCCTATTGAATGTTTAACAAACTTTTCTGGATTTTGATTCCATAATGTTCTTGCTTGCCACTATGAGACTAGTTTGCGGCTCCTCTCAATTCGCAGTCTTTTAGCTCTACTCTTGTTCCCTCCCATTTATGGAGTTCTTAATCAAAGACGAAGATCATGTTAGTGAATTGAGCTTCATCAACCAGAATAGTTTTGGTTTTTGATAGAACAACATTCACTTAAGTGGGCATCTGGTCTTATCCATAAGAAGTCAAGCTTAGCTTGATGCAGGGCAAATACTGACTTGCATCATCCTGGCTCTAACATAGAATTGAAATGTTGTTCATTATCGGTTTGTTTCTGTTATGTTGCGGAATTGCTTCGTTTGGAGACAGCTGGTGATTGAATTTATAATTATGTCTCGTGATCTCGTGTGCGTGTGGATGTATGATTGCCTCTGTAGTTGTGTTTGGAATTTAATGGACAATATCACATATCTAAACTTGTTTTGATTGGAAAACCAACATATTTGCACTCAGTTGTGGATGCTTCTCTCATGCCTGGTAAATGAATTTTGCGGTGCAGGAAGAGCGTACAAAGGAAAGGTTAAAGCAGGTATGTAAGCTTTCTTAGATTACTCATCTTTCACCAACATGAACATTGCCTTAATTCGAATTGGTGGAGAATAGAAAGAATCAGTTTTTTTATAATGCCATAGAGATGGGATTTTCAATTCTGATTATCTTGGTATCAGCTACTTGCATTTTGTGGTTAGGTATTACGAGTGCCTCTTCTAGTAGCTTCTTAGTATGAATCGGTATTGCTTAGTAATCATCAGTAATATCTGCCATTCGAACCAGTTGCTATAATAGCGCTGACCCTATTCTCCACCATCCATGGTATCAACTAGGTAGTTGGGTTATGCCGTTGCGTGATATTAGTATATAGAGGGAAATGCGTGGAATTTCACATAAGCAAAGGACTTATCTGCACCAATTGGCCAGGGCAATATATCCAAAAGATATGGCCAATGCAATCAAGAGTTTTGTGGGACTCGAATTGTAGACTTACCTTCTTCTAGCCTGATCCTTTATCTCTCACCTCATAATTGAGTTAGAAAATGAAGTTCTCATATGACATTTGGATGCAACACTCTTGTTTCCACTTTGCTTACTACTGAGCTATGAAGCTCTGGCCCTTGAATTTCTCTGGCTCAATTGGACTATTCTTGCGGAAGAGAGATAGGATCGTCCTGTTTTGATTTACAACAAGGTATCTAGTTTGAAGTAGGTTGGATTGATAGGCATGTCTGGTTGTTCTGTGCGGAGAGTGTTTTGACTATCGGCTGGAAATCCTCATACTGTGCTAAACTCTACCAAGGCCAAGAATCATCTAAGCCTATCCATACGGATTTGAAGATAGAGGCATTTTCACAGTTTTCATCGGTGATTTGGATTTGATCAACTACATAGAGTGTATGCAAATTGTATCCTTCGTTGATTACCTTGTTTTTTTCTTTCTTTCTTGGTGAATCCTGCAGCTTATGGAGAAGGTGTTCCCTGTGGTGGTAAGGCGAAAACCGCCACGAACGCTGCGCAGAGTTCGGTCTTGGGTATGGTAGATAACGAATGTAGTTAGCATTGTAAGGTCTCGAAACTTTGGGAGAGACAGCCTCCTTTGACTAAGGAGACACAGTAAAAATAGAGCCGCGTCACTTTAGGATCGACTTGATTCTAATATTATTAGAGCTTTTGGGGGTATATATATATAGAATGAGAGACGCTGTGAGGTAGATAAGATAGTTGAAGAGATGGATGATGAACATCATGAGGCGGTAATGCAGACTACAGATCATTACTGGCTTATTTTTGTGTAGCAAACGAAGTTGAAGAACAAGAACAAGAAGAAGAAAGAAGCATTAGTATTTTTTTTTATATATATAGCCTGCGTTTTACAGCACTGGTTGCGAGAGGAAGTAGGGAAAGAGGAGAAATGGAGGGACTTTTGCTGGGTTTCTATTTCCAACTGTAATTTATTTTAGTTTTATACATTGGCGAGTTTGTGAAGAAGCCCTTCACATGGGCATGGCTCTGATCGGTGAATCGATTCGTTTTGTTTCTCTTTCACTCAACAACTCGAATTATTGAAACTAATTTGTTCTTGACATTATCAGAGTCTTCTATATCCAAAACATCTTCTATTTAAGTCCTTGCGACCCATTTTCGGAGCAAACTTCAAGCATACATAAGTGATTCAAGTTCGAATTAGCATATTAGTATGTGTATAAGTATAAGTACCATTGTTAAACTTGTTCCAATAAGAGAGTTAAAAGTGGCATACAACTCACAGTGAAAGGGATAATTATCAACTTCAATAAGAGGCGTGAGGGGAGATTTCGGGGATACGTATAGTTTGGGAGTTGGGATCGGCCGCTACAGACAAACAAAACCCAACAGTACTGGAATTTTGTCATTTGTCGCCATGCTTGTTTTCGTCCCGTTTGTTTGTTTGTTTGTTTCGACTGTCGCAAAATATTTGAACTCAAACCCCCATTGATACGCATGCTCTGCTCCCTGGTGAACATTTCTGCATGCATGCTCTGGTATATTTGCTTGGAAACTAGAGAGCACAATCTGAGTTCATCGATTAGTTCCCTTCAGTAGTGATTCTGATTTGTTTGCTTGTTTAATGTAAGGATCGTAATACAATACCGGAGGTTGTAGCGCAAAAGTTAACGAAATGGTATTTTACGTTGAAATCGTGGTTCTACCGTTTCATACCGCTAAAAAACGGCTACCGGTTTTAGGCTATAGTAAGAAATTTTCCCACTCCAATCTCTATCCCTCTCTTGAAAAATTAGCAGTGAAGTCCAAGAGAACTTGACTTGTTTGTTCCGAAACATGAGAGCAAAGGTAACTTGACTTGTTTGTTCTTCCCAGACCATGCATGAAGTCCAAGAGAACATAGACAAGGCAGAAAGTTCTCATTGCTAATTGCTCATTACCCATCTAATTTCCCCTAGCTAAGCTACTAAAGCAGTAAAGGTCAACCTTGTAAAGAAGAGTAATCTTGGCATATATGCCTATATGTATGTAATGTTTTATCCTCATTATTGTGTACTCATTTGTGAGTAGCTCTTCAAGGAGAGGACACCAACACAAATTAGAAAACATTGCATGGAAGAAAGGGAAAGAAAGTTATTTGGATTCCTTTATTACCCACCCCAATAAAATCCTCAGCTCCCAAGAACAAGAACCCACCCTTTGAATAGGAAGAAAAACAAAAGTAAAGAAAAGGTTTTGAGGATATCATAGTACTTTATAGTTTATACTACTAACTAATAATATTCAAGTAATCATTTTTGAATTATAATCCCCATCAGGGTTTGCCCACCACAGCCTGTTACTCTTCAAATCCCAACTCCAACCCAAAATTAACAAAGCAAAAGTGAGCAGAAAAACCCCTCAATGATTCCCTTCTCTCTATCATGCATGCCTTTTCTTTTTTCATCTTAAAAAAGTAATTAATGGTTTGAAAGGTTTTCAACAAACGAAATCATTCTAGCTTTTACTGTTCTGGCCGAAAACAAAAAGCTAATTACTTTGAGGCTGCTGCTGATAGGGATATTTAATTTTGTGAATGAATGGATGAGAGCTTTGTAAAGGTTATAGTTAACTAACATAGTAACATTCTAGCCACTATAATGCCTTGGGATAGATGGTTCAGTTAGGGGCGGATTAAGGTGGCTTGTGACATCCCTAAAATTTGGAGAAAACATTAAGGATCCTCGATATTAGTTTGAGTTTGGAGTAGGAGAGGATTCATGGTCCTTAGGCACCCCTCTAAAATTTGGAAATTCTCTAGCAGTAGTTTGACTCTGGAGGAAAATAAGGGGGGGAATTTGAATCTTTGTGATTCAAACTCATAACACTATGGAGAAAATGTTATCCATTACACTACAACCCAATTGTTGTTATATTTAAAACATAAATGTAACTATAATATAAATAAATGCGAGTATTTGATTTTGTATATTTGATTGGTAAGTTTGAAGAGAATTAATTTGGTATTTAGTATATACCAAATACCAAACAAAATATTAAGGATGGGGAAAGGAATACCAAATTTATTTTGGGATCAAGATTGAATTTAAGGCTTTATTTGGTCTTCGCCTATGTTGTACTAGTCGAGTATTTTCTAATTTATAATTTTTTTACATTTTATTTTCTTCTATAATTTTATAAAAATATTTTAATTTCATTTTATAAGAGAACACCCTTAAATAAATTTTTTGGGCCCGATAAATCGTTCCATGGATAAGCTTGGATAAGCTTGGCAAGATGGGCATGACATCCAAAATGCGGTCATATATGATACTCGATTGGCGTAATGCTAGAGACAGATAACAAGACAATCTTTAATGCTCTAATAGGTTATAATACCACATTCTTATGATAGATCAAATATTTGAGAGCAGTGTCACGTTGAATCGAGTTACTCCTCGACGATGAACTTCGTGTTATCGTGTGTAGACTACAACTTATGAGGAGCAAGACATCCAGAACTCACTTGAATGTCCTAGAATAGAGAAAGCACCCCAAAGAGGATGAAAATGCCCAGAATGGGAGAGATGCCATTATAGTGAACAAGACAGTAAGACACCATTGAGCACATGGGACCTGATGCAATGGATTGGCATATAGGATAGCCACATATTTTTCACCTCGAAGTACACATCTCCTCCCATGAACCATCTGAAGCATAATGCGGTTAAAAATTGTTAACCCAAATTGTCTGAGAATCTGAGATAGTGCAAAACTGTTAACCCTACACATCTGAAAACCAGAGGAAGAAAACATGTGAACTCCAATTCCAATTAGAATGATACATCCCATGTTGTTGCTTCTGTTCTGTCACCCACATTGACCCCAAAAGAGAAAAAAAGAATTGTCAAGCAAGCAAAAAGAGAACACACAGAGCACAAAGCCTGAGTGCCCCAATCCTTTCTTTTCCTTCTTCCCCACAATACACATTTCTCAAAAACCCTCTTTCTACTTTCCTCTCTGCCTGCCTCTCTCTTCCTTGTTCGTTAATCACTTCCCACATCCATATATATGCATATTTATTGAGCTAATTATGAACCACTCTGAAACCTGGAAAACCCCAACGAAACTGAGATTATGATGATGATTCCAACAATGATGAAGATGAACCACAACCACCATCACACAACTGTTTCCTCAACCTCCATGCCTTCTCATCTTCTCTTCTCCTTCTTCTTCCTACTGTTTCCCCTGCTGTTACTCACTCAGCCTTGCCATTCCTCCACCACCATTCTCGTCGATGGTGTCTCTCCGTGGAACAACCCTTCTGTATACATTGGAGACTCTGTCGGTAAGTTCGCTCATAATGAATTTCACCAATTCTGGTTTCAACTTTGTTCCATAATCCATTTCTTAACTGAATCTTACCCTTTTGCAGTCTTCAAGCACAAGTACGGCTACAACCTCTACATCTTCCAGAGCTTCAGCGCTTTCACGCTCTGCAACTTCAGCCAGGCCACTCTGCTCACGAACCCCAACTCCCCTTCCCATTCCTACTCGGTAATTTCGTCGAACACCTTCCATGCATCTCTGCATTTCCCTTCCTTAACCCGCCAATTTCCTCACAAGATCTGTGCTTTTCTTTCTGGGTTTTCTCCCCCATTTTGCAGTGGCACACTTCCCGCCCTGGGTTCTTCTACTTCGCCTTCTCCAACGGGTCCTCCTCCTCGTCGTGCGACGAGCAATACTCCCAGAAGCTCGCCATCAAGGTCTCGCCCCAGTCTCCGGCGCCTGAATTTCCTCCCACCGCGGCGGCTCCGGCGTCTCCGATTTCAGGGGGAGTAGTGTCGTCTTCTCCTGCGTACCCGTGGCCCTTTCAGCCGCGGGAGAAGAGTGCTGCTGCTTGGGCGCCGGCGCCGGAGCCAAGTGCCTCCTCTGGCGGCGTTTATGGAGGTGCTAGCGCTCCGATGAGGGTTCCGAAGATGTTGCCGGACAAAGGAGATGGAATGCCGTTCATAAATAGCAATCCGGCGGTCCCTCTGCCGACAGGGGAAGTGGATTCCACCACTATCCGTCCTCTGCCCACTTCGGCTAGTGCTGGCCACCAACAGGTAATTACTAACTAACTTTACCCTTTTGTACAGAATAGAAGATGGAATTGGATTGTTTTCTAAACAAATAGTTCTCTCATTATTACTTGGTACAAGACATGATTTCAAATGAATATAACATCTTTTGTAACAGTTCTTTTTGGTCTACTATTACTAGGATTGGCAAAGATAAGTTCAAAATCAGACCGAGTTAGATCGAATTGATATTTGGACGGATTGTAATTCGATTTGGTTTTGATTCCACGAATACCTTTTTTGGCAAAAGGAAAAAAGCGGATTGAATTGAATTTTGAACAGGACCACGAAACGAAATGCATTTTTTTGATCCGACTATGATCCCCATGGTTTCTTTTATTTGTGGTTCTGCCCTATTCCGAATGAGCTTACTAACAACACCAAATTCGACAAATAGTCCAACACAGATACATAAAATTCGTACCACCTAGATTCGAACACAAATCTCTCTTACATTTTCATTAAGATTGTATCATATAATGTTGCTTGAGAATGAGAACTGTTTGTGGTGATAAATGCAGATGATGAGGTGGAGGAAGGGTTCAATTGGAGCAGAAATTGTTGGTCTTTGGGGTGTGTTCTTGCTGCTGTGAAGATATAACTAAGGGGCCAAAGCACTGTTGCTTTCCCCATCTTTTAACTATTATGTAATGTGATATGCCTATTCTAGTGGTAGACAGATGGATGATTTGTATGGAAAAGATTAGTAGGAAAAGTGGTGTTTGTATATGTGAGAATGGCTAAAAAAAGGGGGTCCAAAGTGGCTTTGCAGAGGGATGAGTGAGTGTGATTATAATGATGATTTTGGTGATAAGTGGGCTTTAGGAATCATTTGGTACTTTTGGCCCCCTTTGGTTTCCTTTTCAGATTTCACCTTGATTCATAGTTTATTTCCTTTTGGCCCCATCTTCTTTAATTGTGGTTATGGTACACACGAGACACGAGAGAGAAATAAAGCGATTGTAATGTGTTCTTGTTTCACGTATGTAACAATCGTTCGATTGCGAATGTAATGATTGAGGCGTAGGGCTTACTTAGAAGTGAAAGACCCCTTGCAAGCAATTTACTCGAATGTATGATTAGATTCGATGATAAGTACTCCAACATTATCCTTTAACATTCATATAATTGAAAATGAATCAAGAGTTTCACCCTACCGTCGTACAATTCGATTCGGTGAAAACATTTCTTAGGTTTCTTCACAACAAACCCCATAATGAAGAGCCGTTAGCTTCCCGCCAAAACCAAGAACACTTGCTCCATACGACATTGTTGTATTCTCTAAGGCACAAAATCAGCATAGCACAAGCAATGAATATGTGCTTTAACTCTCTGCTAGTTTAATCATATCCTCCCCACAACACAAAGAAGCCACCTTTTCCTCGTTTCTCCTCCTCCCCAATTCCCATACCACCATTCTTTCCCTCCCAAAACAAACCCTTTTCCTTTCCCAAACCCACGAAACAGAGCACAAGAAGTAAAAGAAAGAACCCTCAGCAAGACCAACAAGATCAAAGCAATGGAGCTGGAACTGGGATTGAAGATCACACACACCAGAGACGACATAACTTCCTTCACCGATCTCCGAATCTCTAAAGACCATTCGGGCCCTCTCTTCGTCTCTCGAGAAACCAACTCCAAGTTCATCCTCATTGCCTATCTCAAAGGTAAATAGAAAAAAACCTAGGAAGTTCCCTTCTTTTCTTTCCACTTCCAGGAATTCCCATTTTCAAGTGAATTTGCTACTTTCTCCAGGGTTCAGAAGGGAGAACGTGAGCATAAAGATCAATGGAGAAGGGAACCGAATAGAGATCAGCGGGGAGAAGCCGGTCCAGGAGATGGTGATGATGGGTTTGATCATGTACAAGAAAGATGTGGAGCTCAGGACCTTCAGGAAAGTCTTCAGGATTCCTGACGCGGTCGTTCTGGACCGGATCAGGGCCAAGTTCAACGACGAGGAAGCGGTCCTCACCATCTTCATTCCCAAATCCGAGAAAGGAATTCGCGGGGTTTCGATCGAGGAGGTCAAGGATGAATTTGAAGCTGGTGGTAGTAGTTCGCCTGAAGATTCTCGAAAGATTCCTGATGCAGAGCTGCCTGGAAATGATGAAACTGGTCAAGTTCCTGAAGAGGAGGATGATGGAAGGGGCCATGAAGTGATGAATCCTAAAGCTGAGGAGCTTCCAAGTCGAAAGGATTCGATGGAATCGTTAAAAGAAGAACAACAAGAAGATCAGGGTCAGGTTAAAGAAAAGGTAGTCGAACCTATTCAGAAACAAGGATCCCAAGAAGAGTCTTCTTCATCAAATGCCATACCTGATAGCAAGAAAGAAGAAGAAACTATGATGGAAGAGCAATTGGATAGAGAAGAACCTCTGGAATCGAAAGAGGACTTCGTCGAAAGGAAACCTGAAAGATCGGAAATGGTTGAATCAGAGAAGACAGATAATGAAATTCGAGACGAAGGAGTTCCTGAAAGCAAACCTGAAGAGAAGAAAGATGAAGCTCGCATGGAAGAAACATGGCCGCAAGAACATGAATCAGAGAAGCAGGAACCTGAGACTGAAACGACGGCGGCAAATTCAGTTGATGAAGGCAAAGGGGTGGAATCTTCGGATAAGTCGAACCACAAAGATGTATCAAAGAGATCGAAGATGTGTCGTCCCGTGGTGATTGCAGGATCGAGCATTCTAGTGTCAATCATAGTAATAGTCATTGGTTTTATTAGATCCAGAAGAAAAAAAGTAGTTTCTCGGTGTTGATGTGTTCATAGTTGTCAATTTGAAGAAGCTGGTGAGTTTATGGTGTGTTCATAGTTGGTGAATTGTGTATTTTGGTCAACAGGAAACATCTGTTACAAGAATTCCTGCAGAACGAGATAAGTACAGTTTTAATTGAAAACTCAGAATAAAACTTCATTTCAAGCTTCATCCAAACAGAATTACATTTGCCTCGCCAGAAAGCTTTTTGTCCACAATCCCTCACCACAATCTATCTTTAAGAATTGACCTCTTCTAAGCTATATTGTGCGTCTTTTTCCATCCCAATCCCCAAACCAATGGAGTTCCCAAAACATCTGGTTCTCAAATCCTCCCCAGCTGTTGCTAACAAAAAAAAGTTTAAGAGATTGTCATTCACTTAACAGAAACCCAACAAGAACATCAAAACATCTCAAATTAGAACAACACAAAACCAGTGAGCTGCCTCTTGTGGATGCCAATCTGCCACACCTTCGACGCTCTCCATTTTTCTGATGATCATCACTCATCAGACTGCCAAAGAAAATGCAACAGAGTTAATTTGGCCCATGCATTGTCGTAGTGATGGCAATGGGGCGGGGATGATACACCAAGAGACACACAAGAGACTTCATCCTTCACTTCATTAGGCCCACCAAAACCCCCATGATGAAAGGAAATTTGGCGGTTCTAATGCAATAGGCTACTGTGAAATCACCTGCATTCCTGTGGAGGGACTCAGGAATCACAATTGCACCACCCACCCACTAGTTGAGTTGGGTACTGAAAGAGAAAGGGACCTTTCCCTTGAAGCATTAATGCCCAAAATGGCCACACTTTCCCTAATGCAAGGACTTGACACTGACTAATCAGTGTTTGCCCCGCGGATTAGCTCTAGTCAAGAATTAATCACACTCAAAAATACCTTCATCTATTCTTTTCATGAAACTGTTTGTTTGCTCTGCATCCATCAATCAATATAGCAATATTAGGAAAGCGGGGTCTTTGTTGATGTACCTGCCACGAATCCCACTAGTGGCTGAGTTGACCTCCAGCCCCACCTAGTATGCTAAGGCTGATGATGAGTCCCTTTCTTTCTGGCCAGGAAACTTCAATTTTCTTGCATCTGTTTAGGCTGACCCCAGGTTCATGAATGGCCTGCGGATTGTCAATTGACTCTGTCGCCTCATGGGCACAGCTGCTGACGGTGTAGAGCCTGTACACAGTACAGAGGTCAGATTGATTGCTGAGTGTTGAAACCTTACAGAAAACAGCTTTTTGCAATTATAGGCTAGGGGAGGTAATAACTGCTCATCATAGATTGCTGGCGTGAGCATAAAAATGGCCACCACTCCTCAAGTTGCAGCAGCATCTCTCACCAGCCAATGCCTGCACCACCAACCAGCAAATATCCTGGTTTTAGACTGAAATACTGAAACCTTCCACCAGGTAGATCTAACTTGTTCAATTTTACTGCTGCATCCAAGTTACCATTCACCAGCTGGTAGATTGAGAGAGGAAATAGAACCAGAACATAGTGAGACAAAAGATGAGTAATAAGGCTTCCTCCATAGATCTTTGTTCTAGAAGATAAAAATATATAAATGTGCTATGGAAGCTTTCGGAAAGCAGAGGATTTGGAGAATTCTGAGAAAACAAATAAGTATATACTTTACTGAATGGCATACTGCACGTTACTGCCTCACATGGCCAAGAATAAACATATCTCTCATGAAGCATTTCTTCCACACACCGCCGACAGCTAAAACAGCAAATTCCTGTCAACTTGGATGCCATGCTCCCTTCTTCAAGCCCATTTCCATCCATGTGACAGTTAATAACAACAATCTGGTCAATCTAGGAATGTCTTCAAACCCTCATGCCAGAGTATCAAAACACTACAGATCAGCCGTTTAAAATAATGCAGGCTGATCGTTACATTACAACCAGCCAGCAGCAGCAGCACTTGTTAAGGCTATGATACAGGTCCAAGCTCTTCGGCAATTGAAGCATTAAGAAAATCTGAAAACACATGAGAGAGGATCACGATAACAGGGGTCAACAAACCATAATATTAACAATAAACAAAGCATCACAACAGTCTGCAGATACATGTTTCAGTTACATGCATCCCTCTCATTTATAAGTGGGCACAGAAGCTGAGACCGAGTCAAAGTCAAAGCTCACATGGCTGCCATTGGAGACTCCTTCCACCATGTAAGAAGAAAGAAACCAAACACCACTTCTGTATCATTTGAACGAAGATGCATAAGTTAGACTGAACCCCAAGAAGAATTTCCACATGGGAGAAAGTCAAAGTCAGAACACACACAGCTATCTATAATCAGGATAGACTAAGTATGGACCTTGACCTCTGCACCCAGCGATGCACAATGTCCCCATGACGGCGAACACAAACTCCATACTTTGCAGTAGTTTATTAAGAATGGTCAGGAGTCAGGACACGAGGCAATAAACAAATTATTAGTACTTCTTCTGCATATGTTCTGAACAGAAGAGAGTTTGATTAGCATTAACAGCAGCCGGTTATATGAATATCTGCATACAGATATGATAAACAACAAAATCTGCCCATGTCCTACTCCAGGAGACAGCCAAGATAAGGCTGGTGAGGGATATGAGAGCAATCGATGAAAGAACACCTAAGAGTGAAGGTTAGCCTTGCTGTTAAAATCTATAACTCCAGACATAACAGGAAGTTTCCGGTGAAGATAGATATATCATACATATATTTACAAGTGACAGTTATATCTTACGCGCAGGTGAAAACGGTTAAGTGGGTACCTCAGAATTGCTCTCATTCACAATATACTCTGGTTATCTTGTTTCTCAATCTGAATGTTCAACAACACAGACTATATCCATCTTTGTATCAAGGCGAAACAAGATCTATCACTTCCTATCTCAAAGGCCAAGTGCAACAGAGGAAACAAGGTACTAAAAGGGAGAAGCAATTTACTGAGGAAAATCGATTATACAATAAAAACACAAGCTGGAGATCAGCAGGAGCCAGGATCCAAAGTCCCCAATTTGCCATAATCCTAAAAAATCCTTTCTTTACACATATACTGACGATGGTAAATAAATACAAGCACCCTCCTTTCTTTTCATTACCCATTTATTTTCACTGCTTGCACTGTGAGCCATCTCTCTCGTCGCTTCAATCCCCAAATTTCTTCAATGTGCATCGTTGTGATTACCTCTTCCCAGAGTATCAAGCCCTTCCGTCCGGCTATGAACGATTCTATGGAACACCTCTCTGACTTGTCTCTCCAAAGGCTCTAACCCCTCTTTAAAATCCTCACATATTTGGCCCAATTCCTGGACTTTCTCCCTAACTTCGCGCTCCCTTTCCTCCGGCAATGGAAACTGCACAGAATCTGCCAAATCAGACAGCACCCTCGAGCATTTATCCATCTGATAAATCTCCCTCAACAATCCACAAGCATTCCTCCTATCCCGCTTCCTCGACTCCTCGAATATCCTCTCGTGCATTGAGGATATAGGGGCACCCCAGGAGAAGTGTCTGGGAATCGAGAAATGAACCTGCAAACCCCGATCCTGGCATGGGATCGCCGCCACAAGAGCCCACATTACAAAGAGCATAACAGAGTTCATGGTGTAGACAGCAATGGCGAGACCACTTGTAGACACAACCTCATTGGCTCTGGGCGGCACGATGTTGTTGCCGATGGCCTGGAGCTGCCTAGCTGCAGACCACGACCGCGAGACGCTCCAGGACAAGGACCTGAAATGGCCAAGCGCCCGCAGATGGTTATCCTTGGAAGAAGACTGATGCCGGCCGAAAGATCGGTTCCTGTGGGCCAAAGCAGCGGTGCACTCCTTCTCATCGAGCATGGAGATGGACAAATCGATCAGCGCCTTCTTCGCTCGGCGGAAATGGCCTTCCCCGAGAAGCCTCTGGTTATCCAGGGCGCAGAGAACAATCTCCAACAGCTTCCTCCACTCCCTGATCTGCTCAATCCCATCGCGGACGGCGTTGCAGAGATCCAGGGCCTTGACGCTCCGCTCGTAGAAATCGTGGACCAATCGATCCAACGGCGCCTTGCCGCAATAAGACTTGTTTCTCGACAAAATGAGCCTGAACTCCTCCTGGCAACAGAGGAAAGCATCGAGCAGCTTCCGGATCCACGCGAGGGAAAGCAAATCGTCAGATCTAGCCGATGAGAGATCGAGGAACCTCTCCCCTACCAATTTCTGAAACGCTTCGAGCTCCGACTCGAGACCGGAGCTCTCGTGGCTGTTGTGGCCGTGGCCGTCCATGGAATGGACCTGATCGCGACGCAGACTCAAAAGTGCCCTCCCGAATGCAGCCGACGATCCTTGGAAATCAGTCGCCGGCATTCTGTAACGGGAACCGGAAATGGGGAGCTGGAAATCACGAAGAAAAGAGAACGGGAGAAATCCGACGAAAATCGATTCCCCTCAAATCCGCATTTAAGGTTAAATAGAAGGTCGAATTGGCCGGAATCGGGATCGGAACGAGAATTTCGAACTCGGAAGATGGCAGCTGAAAGAGACGGGAGGAAGAAGATGGAAAGTGCGGAGAAGGAAGGAGAGGAGGAGGAGAAGAAGAAGAGGCGGGGGGAATGATGAGAAACCCTAATTGGAGCCAGACGGCATTTTATTGGGAAGATTTGGACCGCGTTTTATGGTTGTGAGAGAGAGAGACGACGGAACGTCTAAATCAAGAGGTTAAATTGAAAAAGCTTTTTGAAATTTTTAAATGTGTTACCTTAATTAGAATAATAATAATAATAACATTGGATAAGACAAAAAGATAAACAAAATATTTATCCACAAAAATTGGTTAAAATTCGTTTCTTTTTTTGAGAAGGGAAAATAAATATTTTCTAGGGCAAGGACAATGGAGGAGGAGAGTGGCGCATGATTTATGGCACAATTTCGATTTTCATATATTTTTTAACATATAATTATATCTCAATTATCGGATTTTTGTCGTATTTGTCTAATAGGATAATAGGCGGTGTAAAATTAGGAGTGTGCAGCAGTTCGGTTCGGACCAAATTTATGAAAATCACGATGCACAGTGAAAGACGTATAATCGTATATATGGTTCAGGATTGAACAAATAGTGTATTCGGTCCGATCCAAAATATCAATTAGGTATAGTTTCTTTAGTATTGATAAAATTTATGGGACTGGACTTATCATATTCACTTCAGTATGATTCGATTCACATTGATTTGGTCCTGTACGATCGAATACGAACCAAAATGTTGCACACCCCTACGTAAAATTACAATTAAAATGATCTTTTACTCATGGTTTTTTAGTTATAGAATGTTGGGGTGATTTTTTTTTTTTTAACTATACCAAACAAGTTTTAGATAATCAATGAAGAATTGAGAATAATTCATTCATCTTTTATAAATAATAATTCATTCATTTTGTATTCATTGTTACAACTTACAATGAAGAATTGAGAATATTTTGACACATAAGATAATTAAAATGATAACTATTTCTGTTATAAGGGCGCACTTAAATCTCATCAAGAGAATTATTATTATTATGTACTTAAAAAGCCCTATCAATTATCGGTTGGTTACTATTTCAAGGATTAAGATGATCAGTAATGATGAATTAGCATGTGATAAAAGAGAAAACGTGGGATTTTAAATTAAATAATTAACATTCCCTTTTACCTTTTTACTGTTTTAATTACTAATTATAGAGCTGCGGGAACTTTTTAATTAAGAAACGATTGTGGCGGGAGGGATTTTATAGAAGGAAGCGAAGCGAGCTGCTTTTTATGTGAGTCGGAACTCGGTGAGGAGGGCAGCGAGTTTTCGTCTACACGGACTCCACACGCTCGAGTACACGTCTGATATTTTCGCGCCTCTTGATGCAAACCCGTGGGTCCGCCAAACGAGGACAGAGACAGGAGAGTTTTGAAGTGGGGGCCACATTGGTGACGTGGATGGGGGGAGTGAGGTGACGGTGGCGCGCTCGTGAGACTGCCACGCTGTACGGGTCGGGTCGGTCGGATATGAGGAGAATCCGGAGGAGGGAGGGGTGCCAGCTGGGTCTTAGTTGGCGCGTAAAAGTTGGTGACGAGACGACGAGATCTCCTCGCTCACTGACTCGGTCTTTTTTTTTTCTCTTTTTAGTTTGTTTCTTCCCGTTTCTCGACGATTTTGGTTGATTTTGTTTTTACGAGAAACCCCCGCTAAATAAAAGAAGCTTATGAAAGTATAATTTTTTTTTAATTAACTGGACGCGTGTACTTAATAGCGGATTAGCAAGGCACACGAAAGTGAATATTCGGATTCTAGATGGTTTCGAAACTCAAACTCATAAGTCATACCTCGCTTTCCCGATAATTATCCCCAAAGTCTTAGGAGTTATTTGTAACCTTTGATTAGGAAAGAATGTTCGTATTATGATTATGTATATATAAAAAAAATATAATTTTTTAAACAATTAATGTCTGGAAAATATAATGCGTAGATTATATGTTAAAAATGAACTACGGATAGTAAATCTCTCCAAAAAAAGGCGAGATTCGATGTACATCATTTCCTATGTGTTAGAAATACGTTATGTATTCTCTATATGTGTATTTTGTGCTTAAATTCGGCAGAATAGGACGCTTAATTAGAATTGGAAGTTGCAAACGAATTATTCGTTAGATGAGTAATGATGTCACCTTTTGTTAACAAGAGTTACGTCCCTAATCCATTTCCCCGGTCTAGAAAATTTAACAAGTTCTCGTTGATTTTGACAATATATGTGACGTTGTGATCAGTGACGAAGCTACGTAAAAAGTTGGGGTGCTTGTAGCCTCTTTTGATAGTCGGTGGAATTTTTCTGGAGACTGGATGAATGGAAATTCGAATCTCCAACCTGGTCAATCGACAATCAATTATCTAACTATTTTCACTATATAACTAACCTACCTATACTGACCCAGTTCCTTAACATAATGAAAGTGGTTCTCACACATAGCCCACAAAATACCACAACCCCAAACCAAAAAAACAAAAAATTGCTCCAGTTTTTCTCTCTATGCTGGCCGAATTTGCATACTTGAGTTTATAAAAAAAAAAAAAAAAGGATGAAAACGAGACAAACGAAAGGGACTGAACCGGCCTATATATATCATCATCTTTGAGAAAGAAATATTATTATTCGAAAACGAGACGAATGAGAACTACAGGCTCAGAAATTATCCCCGCACAATTATACATAGAATCCAATTCTCTCCCTAAAAACAAATAAAGTTCTCTATTATTTATTGAAATGAGGTTCTAGATACTGGGGGAGTTATATTGTTCTAGAAACTGCGAGAATTATATTAGTTTAGTTTGGCCCCGCGGTAGCTTTTGCATAAGCAGCTTCTGGCTGGAGCTTTTAGATAAATACTTTTAAAAAAAAAGCAGTTGAGTGTTTGGCTGTAAAACTATTAGAAGTGTTTTTTAATATGAAAGATTGTGTAAAATGACTATAAATGACTTATAATATAAAATATGAATAAAAATTCTAAACAATAAAAAGTAAACAAAATGGATCTTGTTAGATTTCTTTTATATTAAATAATATGATTTTATATTTTATTTTATTTTTAAAATGATATAAATGATGGAAAATTATATTTTTTGAAATAAAATTAAAATATGGTAAGGATAATCTTGTATTTTCAAAACAGCTTTTCGCATAGCTTCTGCTTTTATGTTATACAAAAGCGCTTTTCGGCTTTTCAAAAGCCGAGCTTTTACAGGTGTTTGGTCATGCTTCAGCTTTAGAAGGCTAAAAGCACTTCTAAAAGTCGGGTCAAACATAGGAATTGTTATTTCATATAGGATTCGTGCTTCCAGGTTTCCATTATTATAGATAAAGTGAAAATGAAAATTTCTAGTGGATTATTTAGTTTATTAGGAGTAGTGTGAAAATTTTAAGAAAAAAGCTTTATATTACAAACCTATGCAGAGAAGTGAGAACTACTATGCTTTGGCAATAGTGATGGCAATTTCAACCCGCCCCGTGGGTATTACCTGACCTGACCCGCGATGGGGCGGGTATTACTCGACCCGCAGTAGCGTGGGGCGGGGCATGGATATCTACTTCCGACCCGCCGTGTCCCGCCACCGCCCCGTTCTAGACTCATTTTATCTCAATTTCTTACAATATCTATACATATTTCTCCTATTTTGACTTTTCTTCAACTAGTTAGAGTCGATCTTTCAACTTGTTAGGCTCAATTATCCATTCTATTATCAATATTTTTCATTCTTAAAGTGTTTTTCCCTACATTTTATTGTAAAAAGTAAAATTTACTTGTACTTTTTTGAACAACATGTAAGAGTGGGCCGACCCGCCCCGCCCCGTACCCGCGCGGGTTTTACCCGCCCCGACCCGTAGTAGCGTGGGACGGGGCATGGGAATTAAGGTACCCGCTCCGCACCGCCCCGTTGCCATCACTATTTGGCAACAAACAAAAAAAAGTGAGAACTACTATGAAATTGATACTTAATAAGTATATATACTAGTGTAGTTAAGTCATAAAATTTATGAAAATATAAACTTTTTCAACTATCATGAGAGTAGTAGCTCTTGATTGACTCGAGATAATAAATATTAGTTGGCTTCAATACTAGTGTCGGCACGACGTCACATGAATTTCTTGGCAAGTTCAATCCTGCTTGCATATGTAAGAAATTTAATTAGTAATATTATTTATTAATCAGTAATGATCTGGAATCATGAAAAACATAAGATACTCAAAGTTAAGGAGCCAAATGTATAATTGGATGATAACAAAAATCATAAATTAAACATCTATTTATTTTTAATTATTTTTATGATAATAATTTTTGGTTATTATTATTATAATTCATATACATACCCCATTGTCACCTCAAAGTTCATGCCCCCAATGAGAAAGATATCCAAGTCGTTGAGGTGGCTATTAATCCTTGCAATAAATTTGTGCAATTATTAATTTTTCAAGTTGAACACAACAACATAATTGAAATTGATTTTATGTGTATTGGTTGATTATTCAAAATTGGGTTCATGCACTTGAAATTTAATTTCATAATAATATATAGCTATTATACAAATAAAAGATCATAAGAAACTTAGGCGCCCATGGCAAGATTATTGTTTTAGATAATAATAATAATAATGAAAGAAATGTGTAAGTCTAAATTTAGGGGTCAGACTGGTGTACTCCTGGAGTATACTATACTCTAGGTACTCTTAGCGAGATATCACTATTTAGACTATGAATTAAATCGCGTTTGGGGTATGATACTATAGCCTAACCTCTAATGGGTATACCTCAGCCCCCGATTGTCTAAACTCAAACCAGAAGTTCA